CTCAAAACATTAAAAACAAAACTACCTAGCAATTCCATTCTGGGTATTTAGCCAAAGAAAGCAAAAACACTAACTGGAAAAGATATCTGCGCACACACACCCATGTTCATTGCAGCATTATTTACAATAGTCAAGATATGGAAACAAAGTGTCCATCAGCAGATGAAGGAATAAAGAAATGTGGTATACAGGTACACAATAGAATATTATTCAGCCATAAAAAGGAAGTCCTGCCATTTATAACAAGATATGGACCTTGAATGCAAACACTGAGTTCATGGTTATAGAGAACTGAGTGGTGTTGCCTGAAGGGGTTGGGTGGGGTATAGTGAAATGGGTGAGGGGGGGTCAAAAGGTACAAGCTTCCAGTTAACGGGGATGTGACGTACAGAATGGTGACTATTGTTAACGATACTGTATGGCATACAATTTCACAAGAAAAAAATTTGTAACTGTACAGTGACAGATGTGAACTAGACATTGTAGTGATCATTTCACAATATATACAAATATATATCAATCATTATGTTGTACACCTGAAACTAATATAATGTTGTATGTCAATTATACTTCATTTAAAAGAAATAAATACCTTTTTGGTCTCACCATCTTGCCGCACCAGCATTGTCTTTGGGGTAAGTGAGTGGTCTGAAAGGTTGAATCTGATGTACTCTACATCTTCACTCCCAGTTCCAGGGCTGAAAGTGAGAAGACTTCATGAACATTTAAGTGGACAGGAAAAACATCTTAGAAGGGTCCCTTGCCCACTCCACAGTCTGCTACATTTGCCTCTCCACTTCCTTTACACTCACTATAAGGTTTTACAGCTCACATTAGAGACTAATTGATAACCTAGATAAAGCCCAGCCCAAATATCCACAAGAGGTATGCTAATCAATAGTTAAGCACACTGCCTTGGAAATGTAGCCAATTGTATGAATATGAACACAAGGGAGGAGCTACTTGTCTTGGAGACCACTGTCTCTAGGATCTAAAGTGTCATAAGGGCAAGAGGTAGGGGAAACAAAACCAATTGTTTTAAAAACCAAGTCTGGGATTTGAGACCTTGCTGAAGTGAGGTATTTAATCCTGTGCTCCCATCATAACAGACTTCTTTGCTATACACAAACTGAGTCTTGACTGCCTAAGTTTGAACTTTAGCTTCTAACAACCATCCTAAACTAGTAGAGCCTGACACATAGTAGGAGCACAACAGTCATTTGTTGAATGAACAAAAAACAAGTTACATTTAAGGCAAATACCTTTTAATACAATGTAACTTTAAAATCTGGTTTGTCTAGTTAGCTAAGAATGTAGGAATGTAACCTTTTTAAAAAATACAATTACCTCTATCCTGTTACTAGGCTCTTATTCTGTTATGTATTTCCTACTATAAGCATTTAGGACATAAAGTACAAATAAATGTCGTGGGTACCAATTATAATGAAGAGGCAAATCTTTTAGGTCACCACACAGGAAAACACGTATTAGTCAAATCAAAGTTTTGGGTAATTTATAGATTATAATAATACTAAAATTCTTAATGTACTAACACTTGACAAATTTTAGATAACCAGTAAACATGGTAATGTGAGACAAAGCAAAAAATAAATTTCAAAAGGATAAAAATGGACAGCATGTCTACTCTCAGAACTTTAATACACTGCTACTACATCACTGCATCTCCCAGACTTTCACTCTATGGAAAGACAACCCAGACTACATTCTGGATGAAAAAGCACAGTATCCATTCTTTTTTCCACCCATGTATTTAGCTGGACTTTCATCCATTATCACAGAGTTGTGAATCATGACCCTTAATTAAAGTCGTGACTCCTTTTCATTTTGAGGATTTTACTGCTCAACACCAGGGTAGGAAATGAGGCCCCTACTGCAGCTCTGCCCTCCAGAGCTCTGACATTGTTGCAGGACTGGAACACTTCTCCAATAAGCCTGTATGGCCTCAGAAATCCATCTCTACATGGCCTTCCCCCCCCCCCCCAAAAAAGCCACTGCCAACCAATTTGCTATGGCACCTTCCCTGCTTTACCTGGACATAGGAAATAGGTCCTGAGCTCTCGGAAGCTCCAGCTCTCCAAATGACAGAGGCATCAACTAAGGAAAGTGTGAATCTTCTTAAACTTCTCATTTTATGGTTCACATGCTGTCACCCTTCACTGAGCTGATCAAATTTTTTTAAAACAATTCATTATAAACTCAATATTCTTTAAAAAATCTGATGCTGTGACAGTGCAAACAGCATTCATTTTATTGCTCAACTTCGGCATGGGCACATACATAGTTAATTTTTAAAAACCATTTATACAGATGTTATTGATAAAGCTCATGTAACAACTGAGTGAAAATACAAAGAATATCAAAGCTAAAACACTCTGTAATAAATACAAATACAATGAAAATGATAAAACTTTGTTTTTAAAGTCAGTTTGAGAGAAGGAAGAATATTACATTAAGTGAACTAATTACATCTAGAAACAACTCAGCATTTGGTACAATCATCATCCTAACAGAAAAAGGCTGAATACCACACATGCACCGCTGACGGGGTGCTGCAGCTTACACACAAGCAGAAGGAGCTGCTCAATCAAACGGAAAAGATGGCTGGAACGACCTCTAACTTCCATCAGTGCAATCAGTTCAATGCACCAGAAGTTCAAAGCAGACTTAGTGTTGTAAAGTAAAGCAAATTACATTGTATTTAAAAGAAAGGAAACTTGTGCTCTGGACTGTAAATACAAGGGAAAAAAATGACAGTAAAAATAACACCCATTCAGGGCAACAAACTATGTGCAAAACAAAATGTACACTATACACAACACTATTTAAAAACTCTTTACACCAAGAAATAAGACCCTCTAAAATAAAACTCACCTCTGAACTGTATATGAGCTCTACAAAGCAACCTCTGTTCATAATTAAGTATTCATGATGGAAAGGCAATGTATGGATACGTAACATCACATATCTGAAATAACACAACTAGAGGAAGGATTAGAAAAAACCCAGTTTAAGAGGGGCATGTGGAAATAAATATTCACATTAAACATGAGGTGCAAGTCCAAGGTTCAATGACACATGGAGGGTTTTGTTTGCTTAGCACCTATTTGGAAGTAATCAGGTAACATACTTTTGAAAATGAAATCTAAATCATCATGTTTTTATAAATTATGTTGGTAATACCACAGACTATTAGGGTAATTCATTTCTTTTAAAGCTCTATTAAGTCATTTTTATAAAGTTTAAAAAGGCACTCAGAAAGTGATGGTACTTGCCTGCTTGATACTGTACATTATGATAGCAGCATTTCATTAGTACTGCCTCTGTCAGCTATGATTTCTCTGAAGTGTGTGTACTTACTTTTCCTGAATGATTCTAAGAGTAGGCACAATTACACTGCACTAGTGCTGTAATATGAGAGAGAGATGGACCTGCGACCAGTAAGGTATTACGTGAAAGCGGAAAACTACTGATTATCAAATAGTATACAAACCTTCCCTGTACATTTCAAGATGTTCCTCGGTACTACTAAGAATGTGGTAGGAAAACACAACGTGTTTGGGAAGAAGAAGGTCAGCAAAAGCACATTACTACTGCACAGTTAGGACTATAACTAGCTTGAATGTAGCAGTCAAATTAGGCTGAATGAAATAAATTTAAATTCTTAGAAACTACACAAGTAGTTCTCAACTTTTTTTTAAGCAGATTTCCACTTCTTTTATCCTCTCCCCACCCCCAACCCTTGTAAAAGCTTACTTAGAATTCCAATATATAAAAGGGAAAAACTGGAGCTGCTCTGGGTAAAGGGGGTAGGGTGGGGAGTTAGAAGGCCCTGCTGATACCAACTAGTCCTTTCCCTCCCTCACTCTGTCCCTCCGCTCGTAAACCATTACTTCTGAGGCACATCCAAGGAACCCCTTTGCTCTAAGAACACAGCTGAAAACCAGTCCATCAAATAAAAGTATACATGGGCCTATTATTCACAGATAATTAAACCGCAAAATTTAAACAAAGCTTTATCATCAAAATTTGCTATTCTTGATTTCACATCAATGTTAAGGAAAAAAAAAAAAAAAAGAATAGTTCATATTTCTGATGACTGAATTTAAAAATCCACCCATAATTTCAGATTTTTCCAATCCCTCACTCCAGAATTTTGGTTGCCTACTGGATCATGCAATGTGCCACACATCTTGAAAGATAAATCTGGATATTTCAAAATCAGATGCTGATCTTCAACACAAGGGAACTGTGATTCCCCTCCTTCCAAAATTCCCTCTTCAGTTTTAAAGTAATTTATACCATAAAGTTAGAATCACTGCTTCTTTAGTAATCACATCCCTTGCCCCACCACCCCCATTTCATTTTGTTAAGTAAAAGCAGGTTTTTAAAATTTGCTAAATAATCTTTAGAGCAAATTTTTCCTTTTTTAGCTGATTAAAATATCATGAGCAGCTAAACAAAGATTTAGGATGGTTTACTTGATAGAAACTTACTCCATAATAAAAATATAAATTAGGTGTACTGGTCAGAGGAGACTTTGGTTTACTACATATATATATATATTTTAAAGATAAGTTGATCCAGCAAAAGAGTTAAAATCCCATCCCATCCACATGATCCGAGAAGCTATAAAAATGCAGGATTTCCATTTATGATGAAAAGTAAATCCAAAACACCTGGTCATATTGATTCAAGATAAAAAATTAGGACTTTTTTTTAAGTCTCTTAAAAACAAGGAGCCCCTGAAAGCATCTTAGTGTAGCAAATAAGCTACTTAGACTAAATGGTTGCATTAGGAATTTGACAACCAAAATTATATAGCTGTATTCCAGGTAATTTGTTTGAAAAATATAAAAAAGACACACTCAGGCTAAGTTGAAACATATAATGCTTTTAAAATATAATGCTTTGCTATAGAAAAATGTAATTAAATATGTAAATGGCTTAATTTTTTAAAGATAACGATTCTTTTAGCCAATTGTTTACAAAGGTAGAATAATTCAAAATAATTTTATTTCATTGTTTTACAAAGAGCAAGTACAGGAGCTGTTCAAAATCATGTATTCAATCAAAATGAAATGTGACTTGTACCGACTGCTGAAGTTGTCTTGATGTTTGAGAAACTTGAAATCTGTGAAGCGATTTGAATAGGTTACCCTTTTATAAAAATAGTAGTAGTCTTTAAGTGTAGAATACTGCCTAACTCTGGAAATGTAGGAAAAGTCAGCATTCTTTAGGTTCAAGATATTAATTTTAAATAGCAGCTGAATGCGGCCTCATGGCAAAACATAAAGACCTCTTTTTTTCCTTGAAAAGGAATTTCAAAATTGTCCTTTCCCCTCACAGTGTCCTAAAATTTAAAAAAAGGGGGGGGGGGGATTTTCCTGTATTTCAGCATTCCTTAAAACTCTGCTGAAAGGAGGCTGTCAGGTATAAATATAGTCCTGTATAAATCCTTGAAGTCTGTCATTCCACAGCAAATCCACATGTTTCTTCGATGGCTGTTAGCAGCTTTTCATATAACTTTTCATAGCTTTCATAGGGCGGAATGTCTATTCGATTGAAACTGTAAATAAGCACATCAGATTTTACACAGTTCATTCAAAATAAGTAAACCTGCCTCTTGAGTGTATATTCATACAACCACATCACTCTCAGTGTCACAGAGAAAATTATAGGAATAAGGTTATATTTCTCTACAGTAGAGGTTTCCACTTCTGGATGTTCCTAGCAATTTCAGAATAATCTTAAATCACTCAAAGAACTGCTTATCATTCCTTTCAAAGGTTCATTTAGTAGTAAGAACAAAATGAAAAGTCATCCTTTTGAAACTAATACCTACACACATGGAATAAGGGGGGAAAACTACAAAAATAACTCACCACGTGTGGGCTTTGGGCAGGTTGTTAGTGCAGGCATCAATCTGGTGGATGGTAAAGAGTCGTGGGCCTGCCGCACCTGCCAAGGAAGAAAATGTGGGTCAGGTCACTGCAGGTGTGTGTATTAGTCTCTAAAATCTCAGAATGAAACTGGTACATAAACCACAGTGTCTAGGGATAGAGGAATACTGGTGACTACATACAAGCTGCTAAAAAATTCTTTTCCCAGGAAAAGAATCTGGGTTTGAAAGTTGGAATTGACCTTGGATAAGGCTGGATCCTTAATATGCTAACATTTCAAATTTGAGAAAAAGTTCAGGATTGAAATCCTTTGCCAACTTCTTTCTTGTACAGGAAATCAATGTCCCAAACACATGAGAAGAAAAGTAAATGGGCAAATCCAAGATTAAATACACACATTCAGAAAGATGATGGCCTAAATGCAAATTTAGGTTTCATGACTCAAACGTGGCTGACAGCAAAAGATTAGTAGTCTACAGAATAAATTTTAGTTAACATAAGACAGCCCATACAAATAAATATACATAGAAATACAACTTCTCTTCATGGGTAGTTTGAAAATGATGAGTTCTCCAAGTAGGGACTATCAGCACAGCTCCAAGTATGCTTTCCCCAGGGACTTTCGACATTGTGCTATGGGCAACACTGTTGGATTATGTACCCGTCTTGCTTTGCATATCCTCAGTCATCACCAGCAGCAGTGACTTGGGAAATGAAGAACTTCAGAGGTAAAGGAAACAGCTGCCACCCAGTGAAGCGCCACAATATTAGCAATATTACCAGCTCATCCAAAAAGTAAACAGCTATTCCACAGAAGACAGTGCTTTAAAATGGCATATGGTTGTAAATAAACAGTCTCATGTCATGCAGTAATTAACATGCACTGACCAAACAAATGGCCTCCACAACTCATGCTGCCTCTCTTTCTGGTAAAAGAATAAAAAAGGAGAGGGGAGAGGCATCCCAAGTGGGTAAACGTTTTGCCAGGTTGAGATGTGAGGACAGAAGTGGACAGAATTCAGGGACGGGGCGGGGGGGGGGGGGGGGATGGGGAAGAGGGTGTCAATGGGGTAAAAAGGAGAAACATCTGTAACAGAAATAAAATTTAAAAAAAAAAAGAAAAGAAAAAAGAAGTGGACAGAATTCCCCTACAGGAATGTGCAGCAGAACTGAAAAGCAAGGTGAGCAGGAAAGGCAGAGCATCACCACACACGGACTCCAGCATGCGGCACTCACTACAATCACAGAGAACCCCAGCAGTAAAGGCTCTTGGGAAGGGAACAAAGAAAAGGAAGGAGAAGAAGGGATCAAGATGTGAGAGTTACAGGTAGGAAACAGAGTGAAAAGAGAATCTGTTTATAAGCACATGGTTGTAATCTAGCTAGATAAATAAAATACTGACCCCTCCTCCCAATCATCTGATGCCCAGGCACCTGCCCCTCTGGCGCTGATACCTTGTAAGGCTTTGAAGCCCTGCAGAGGCACTCTAGATGATCCTGTCACAAACTGAAGTAACCGTGCTCGTCGCTCTTCATCAAAAAACTCCACAGCTTTCCAGAACCACTTGACAACATTGCTGTCTGGTGTACAGTGTTTTAACCGGGTATTTACCTTCCAGTCATTAACATCTATCTTTCCAAGTCCACAAATAATGAGCTGTTAAAATAGTACACAAATCATGAACCAATGGAAACCTGAGGTAAACCAAAAATTCCTCAAAACAGAACTTCAGATTTGCAGTGTTGGTTCTCAATTGGTAGTTCTTAAATTAATCAAGGGCGCACATCACAATCACCTTGAAAGTTGTTCAAAATATACACACCAAGTCCTATGCTCAGAGATTTTAATTCTGTAGGCTTGGGGTGATACTAAGAAGCTGTATTTTGAAAAGTTCCATGGGCACCTAGTCAGTCAGGTTCCCCACTGGAGTCTGAGAGCCACCACTGTGAGGGATAGACAAGATGAAAGTTCTAGAATGTCACAGAATTCTAATTTTTTTTCCAATGGACAGAAACTAGACTCCAAGAGTAAATACAATGTATATGTGCCTTCCTTAAGAACTGCATCATATTATTCTAGTTTCAACACTTATTAGCTTGGGGATTCTGAGCAACTGGGTTCACCTCCCTTGGCCAGCAGTTTCCTCTGTTGTAATATGGCAGTAACATCTATTTCTCTTTATCCTGTTAAAGCAACTGTGGCATATAGGAACTCAAGAAATGTGTTGAATAAGTGATGCAATCTGCCCTGGCCGGTTTGGCTCAGCGGTTAGAGCGTCGGCCTGCGGTCCAGAGAGACCCGGGTTCGGTTCCCGCTAAGGGCATGTACGTCGGTTGCAGTTTGTCCCCGGCCCTGGTTGGCCGTGCGGGTGGCAGCTACTCGATGTGTCCCTTTCACATCGATGTTTCTCTCTCTCTTTCGTCCTCTCTCTCCCTCCCACTCTATCTGAACAAAAAATGGAAAAATGTCCTCGGGTGAGGATAAAAAAATAAATAAATAAATAAGTGATGCAATCTGTTTGATAATCTTAAAATTGTATCCAAGTGTGAGATACATAAATGTGCTGATATAGAGCTCTGTTTGGCATCCTGATTGATGCAGGGTCAGTATAGGTCAACTCTATGACCATCACCTTGACACTACTAATACTTAGGGCTCTTAGGGTCCAAAACTAGCTCATCTTACTAGTGTGTAATAAATTAGGATAACAGTAAATTAGGATAGTGTGTAGTGTAAAACATAAAGTAACTTGAAAATCCTAGATTTTACTATTTTATTACGCCAGGTATACCACTAAAATAAATTAAATATTTTTAATAAAGGTTTAATGGACAGAAACTATGTAATAAACCCTAACCCTGCCTCTGGCTGGTTTTGCTCAGTGGTTAGCGCATCGGCCTGTAGACCAAAGAGTCACGGGTTCAATTCCAGTCAAGGGAACGTACCCTGATTGTGGTTCGGCCCCTGGCCCTGGTTGGGGTCGTGTGGGAAGGCAGCCAATCGATGTATCTCTCTCACATCAATGTTTCTCTGTCTTTCTTTCTCTCTCTCCCTCCCACTCTGTCTGAAAATAGAGGGTGAGGATTAAAAATAAATAAAAATAAAAAATAAACCCTAACCTTATTGAATAAAATCTCCAACAAAGCTTCTATAGAGTTCTGTAAAGATTATAGCCACACTGAAGAGGGAAGTGGTTATCCACATAGGATTATAGAATTATTTATAACACAAAAGGTAACTACTAAATTTTCTTCAGAGGAGTAATTATAAGGCCAAAGTCCTCATTCACTGTATGAACTGATAAAAATGCATTGCATTTCAATTTTATTGCCAGTCCTGTTTTCTTCCTTTTCCTGACTACTTTCTTCTGACCATTTCACTGTTGAGTAGTTCAATCACAAAAAGAATGGGGATGGTACTGAGTCAAACCAATCTTTTAGACTTGTTTGCCAATGGGTATGTTAACAGATTTAGTTAAAAAGGACACTGAAGTTTATTAATAAAATCATGCAGACTTTGAATATTTATGCTCTCCCTAGCCACTAAATTTGGGACGTCTGGTAGAATAAAACCTCATTGATGTCTTTCACAAAGTAGCTCAGTGGAAATTCAAATGTATTTGTTAAAGGTGCTTTAAGGACCAACTTTACATCTACAGCCATACCACCCTGAATGCGCCCGATCTCGTATAAGGACCAGCTTTAAAAGAAAACAAAGCAAAACAAAAGTTAACTGTTTATTACAGCTACTGTTAATAATGAATGTTTCCGAAGAGACTGAAGATGTTTAGATACAGTTTATCTTAAGTGTTTTAATTATTTCCTTTATGATCTTATTTACCAAATGCTTTCTTGCTTAGTGTAAATCAATTGAGCCTAGGCTTTTATTCCAAATAAATTTCAACAGAAAACAACATTGGAAGAAGGTACACATAAGACATAAAATCTGTTGAAAACAAGAAAGAATAATATGGAAAAATAAAATGTTCACAATATAAGGGAGATTGCTCACTTTGAAATTCCAAAGCAGGACAGATTTCCTATGAATCAGAATGTTCACAGTATCACACCATGAAACTTCAACAGCACAAGAAATACAACTTTCCTCTCTAACTAACAGAAAATTCCTAACCTTTCCTTGTTACACTAGATGATGTCAGACCTTAATATACTAACCTCTAACTCCTTCTCATCAAATGTCTTCAGCAGATGCTGTGGAATTACTTCATTAAATCCTTTCTGCAGAGCCAGGAATTGTGCCTCGATGCCTCGTAAAAACCTCCAGTTCACATAGAGCCTAGAAACATTGGGTATGGGTTTCATATGATCAAATATGTTCATATTGCTAATTATGATGCTCTACTATTAAAATGTGCTAACCTTCCACTAACAAAAGCTGCATCCATCAACAAAACAACTCTTCAAATCACAAAAACTCCTATTAAACTGGAAGTTGGCTGGAGCTTAGGGGTCTGAAGTCAAAATCTGGATGAGACGTCTTTCTAAACTTCTAGCATGCATGCCATAATCACAAAAAAGAGCCCATTCAACCAAAAATCACAATTTTTCTGATTTCACTTGAAAATATGGTCTGAATAAGGTGGTGTTTTGTTTATATTTTGGGGGTAATATATGGGGATAGAGGAGGTAAAGAGAATCCTCATATCCAAAATGAGAATAGTAAAGGCCAATAGTAAGCACTTTTTAGTTAAATATTCATTGTTCCCTGAAGGCTTTAAAAACCTGGAAGATGCCCTGGCCAGTTTGGCTCAGCAGTAAGAGCGTCGGCCTGCAGTCCAGAGAGACCTGGGTTCGGTTCCCGCTAAGGGCATGTACCTCGGTTGCAGTTTGTCCCCGGCCCTGGTTGGGTCGTGAGGGTGGCAGCCACTCGATGTGTCCCTTTCACATCGATGTCTCTCTCTCGCTCTTCCTCTCTCTCCCTCCTGCTCTATCTGAATAAAAAAATGGAAAAATGTCCTCCGGCGAGGATAAAAAAAAACAAAACTGGAAGATGTAATTTACCAATAAAAAGTACACTACATCTAATGTGTAGCTTTTCTCATGCTTTTGACTTGTAATTTATAATTTTTAAAAATCTATCCAGGAAAACCTCTCCATCTCACACATCTCAGAACTACTCATCTTTGTCAACATATCCTTTCCCAAACTTAAGAGAACTAGTTCTCTACTTTAAGAAATACGTTACTTAACATTGTATCCTTTGGAGGACCTCACTTTTGTGTGTTTGCTTAAAGGGACACCAAAACTGGTCATCTATAAAAAGGTTTTCTTTGTCATTTTTTAAATCTCAAAACTGTAGTTCGTAAGGGATTATTACTAAGTGCTATAAACATAACTGAATCCTGGAGCATGGGAGCCAGGAACTGAGTAATCTACATCAGGTCCTGGAAGTGACACACAACTGAAATTCAGAAAATTCCCATCCGTTCTTTTATATTTTATTTTAGTATGTTTTATTGATTTTTCAGAGAGAGAAAAAGGGAGAGAGAGATAAAAACATTGATGTGAGAGAGACACATCGATCGGCTGCCTTCTGCACACCTCCTACTGGAGATTGAGCCTGCAACCTGGGTATGTGCACTGACCGAGAATCGAACCAGGACCTCTCAATCCATGGGACGACACTTAATCTACTGAGTCACACTGGCCAGGCCATTCTTTTATTTTTTAGTTAGAAAAATAATAGATGCTTGTTAAAGAAAAGTAAAACCTGCCTGGCCAGTGTGGCTGAGTGATAGAGAATCGACCCATGCACCAAGAGGTCGCCAGTTCGATTCCCTGTCAGGGCACTTGTCCAGGTAGTGGGCCTGATCCCTTGTGGAGGACATGCAGGAGGCAGCCAATCAATGTTTCTATCTCTCTCTCCCTCTCCCTTCAAATCTCTCTCTCTTTAACATCAATAAAGAAAAAAAAAAATTTAAGAAAAAGAAAATCCTAAATGTGGAGAGAGTAAAACCTGAAAAATCCATTCTTTTATCCTCTTTTCCCTCTATTCTCCCAGGCCCACCACCTACACTCCGTCATCCTAGACAAACACTTTATTTGGTATACAGCCTTTCTGAACATATTTTGTATAATGATAAAATGACACAGACTTTGTCCCTACATAGTTCTTTTAAGACTTGTTTAATCCCAATAGCTTATGCAGATTCTCTAAACAATCCACAAAATATTCTGAATCTACATATTTAATCATCCTCCTCTAAAAACATTTAGCGGTTTTTAATTTTTTACAAGTAATATTTAATTGAGCATCCTTATTCATAATTATTTAATTACAGTTTCCACAGCACAGATTCCTAAAAATGGAGCTGCTATTTAAAGGCATATACATTTTTATTTTGGAGCTATTATCAAATTGCTTTCCAAAAAAGCTAAATCAATGCTCACACCCATCAACTGTGAGACTGATGGGCCTCATGTATACAGTAGGAAAATTTTAGCCAGTAAGACTTGGGGACATAATCTATACAAAACAGTAAAGCATACATGTCTTTCTGTACATACGGTGAAGTTTAAACTTCCAAGTTTAATTACCACAGTTTTATGTTTAGAAGAACTTTAGTTACCATAATCCAAATGATCTAACCCACTTTTCTTTTTTTATTTTATTTTATTTTTTCAAATCTTTTTTGTTGGATGTAAAATGTATTACAGATGTTCCACATTTTTCCCCCATTGGCCCCCTCCTCCCCACTCCCGCCCCCCTCCCACCTTTTCCCACACTATTGTCTGTGTCCATTGGTTATGCATATAAGTTCTTTGGTTTATTTCTTCCCACCCCCCAACCCCTTTCCCTTTGAGGTTTGTCAGTCTAGCAATGAATTTGTGCTTCTTAATCCCTTCACCCTTTTCACCCATTCCCCCAACCCCTCTCCCAACTGGCAACCAACAAAATGTTCTCTGTATCTATGAGAATGTTTCTGTTCTGCCTGTTCATTTTGTTTGTAGATTCCATTGTTGATAGATATGTATTCATTGCCATTTTGTTTGTTCATACCTTTTATCTTTTTCTTCAAAAAGACCCTTCATCATTTCATATAATAACGGTTTGGTAGTGATGAACTCCTTTAACTTTTTCTTGTCTGGGAAAGTCTTTATATGGCCATCGATTCTAAATGACAGCTTTGCAGGATAGAGTAATTTTGGTTGTAGGTTCTTGGTTTTCATCACTCTGAATATTTCTTGCCACTCCATTCTGGCCTACAAAGTTTCTTTTGAGAAATCAGCTGACAGCCTAATGGGAACTCCTTGTAGTAACTAGCTGCCTTTCTCTTGCTGCTTTTAAGATTCTCTCTTTGTCTTGAACCTTTTGCATTTTGATGATGATGTGTCTTGGTGTGGGCCTCTTGGGGTTCATCTTGTTTGGGACTCTCTGTGCTTCCTGGACTTGTATGTCTGTTTCCTTCACCAAGTTAGGAAAGTTTTCTGCCATTATTGTTTCAAACAGGTTTTCGATTTCTTGTTCTCTCTCTTCTCCTTCCGGCACCCCCAAGATGCGAATGTTGGCACGCTTGAAGTTGTCCCAGAGGCTCCTTACACTATCCTCATGTTTTTGGATTCTTTTTTCTTTATGCTGTTCTGATTGGGGATTTTTTGCTTCCTTATAGTCCAAATCGATGGTTTGCTCCTTGGATTTACATACTCTATTATTGAACCTGTGTAAATTATTCTTTATTTCAGTTAATGCCTCCTTCAATTCTAACTGTGTATCCATGATTTCTTTTATTTTTTAATTTTTTTTTTTTATCCTCACCCGAGGACATTTTTCCATTTTTTGTTCAGATAGAGTGGGAGGGAGAGAGAGGAAGGGAGAGAGAGAAACATCAACGTGAAGGGACACATCGAGTGGCTGCCACCCGCACGACCAACCAGGGCCGGGGACAAACTGCAACCGAGGTACGTGCCCTTAGCGGGAACCGAACCCGGGTCTCTCTGGACCGCAGGCCGACGCTCTAACCGCTGAGCCAAACCGGCCAGGGCTGTATCCATGATTTCTAACTGGTCCTTTTTTATGCTCTTGATGCCCTCCCTAAGTTCACTGAGGTTCTAAGTTCACTGAGCATCCTTATAAGCAGTATTTTGAACTCAGTATCTGTTAGGTTGCTTATCTCCCTTTCGCTTAGTTCTTTTATTGGGGTTTTGTTCTGTTCTTTCATTTGGGACCTGTTTCTTTGTCTCCTCATTTTGGCTGCCTCCCTGTGTTTGTTTCTATGTATTACTTAATGAGAGGTATGGGGCTCGCTGAGACCCGATGCCGCTCGTTTGAAAGAATTTAGGAAAAACCTGAAGCAGGATCCAAGACAGGCCAATCCTATGGTTAAGCAAGTGGCAACAGCTTGGGTGGGCTTGAAAGTTGTGGGGGGCGGGGCGGGACCTCAGGGAGCAGCAGGGCGGGGCTACCAGTGTGAGCCAGGTTGCTGGAGTCCCAGATATGGTGGCTGTCTGCCGCCCCAGGGAAGGGCTCACCAAAGGAACAAAGGCCTCTTACAACACGTTTGTCCCCAAGAAAGCCCCCTCTCCAGCCCTCGCTCCAGTGCCACACAGCTCAGTTCTTCCCTGTATGTCTCTGGCGCCCCTCGAGCTGCCTCCCCTCCAAGCTTAGAGGGAGAGAGTCCGGTAAGTCCGTGCGCAGGCCCTTTAAGGAGCTGCCTGGGGCTCCAGCCGCCTCAGCCTCCCTGAGCCTCAGTTTCCACTGGTTTTTCCAGCCAGAAGTTATGGGGATATCTCTTCCTGGTACTGGAACCCTGAGCGGGGCACCTGGTGTGGGATGGGGACCCCTCAATGCTCAGGGAGGACCTTTCAAGCCACGGGAGCCTCCTGATTTTTATCCGCCACACGTGGGTGTGGGACCAGCCCGTCGCACCGCCGCCCCTCGCGCGGCCGCCCCTACTACCCATCTGGATGTGGCTGCTGATTTAATTGCTGATTTAATTCCGTAGTTATAGGACTTCCATTCAGCTTGATTTCAGGCGGTTTTGAATGATGGTTGTTCTGTAGTTTAGTTGTAACTTTGATGTGGTTGTGGGAGGACGCGATACTGCGTTTACCTACGCCGCCATCTTGACCAGAAGTCCTAACCCACTTCTTTTAAATTCCTCAACCAACAGGTGATTTCGTAAAACTTGGAAAACATTTTCTTGTATCTATTCCTTAAGCTCACAATGAGCTTCCTTATAATCAGATAGGTGCTAGTGATGCAGCACAGAAGTGCTTCTGCACAACCAGCCGTGGCAGCCACACTGCATCTGCCCAGGCACCATGTTTCCTGGTATCTGTGCTTCTGTAGAGCCCCTCTTCCATACTAAGCCTGGGCTGGCATGTGACTGGCTTTAACCAAAAGAATACAGCACAGGGGTGATGTTGGCCAGTTCTAGGCTTAGGCCTTAAAAAGATCCAACAACTTCTCTTGTGCTCTGGAAAACCAGCCACCTTGCTGGGGAGAGATGGGCCATCAGAAAGTGAGAGGCCTCTGATTCCACATGGGGATAACCAAGGGACTCAAGCAGCACAGAGAACAAGGCCCCAGATGGTGAGCCAGTGGCCGTTCCAGCTGGCCCCTAGCCCTTGGAGCCACCATAGCTGAGTCATCAGACATGTAAGTGAAAAGGCCATCATGACATTTCCATCCCCCACTGACACCACCCAGAGGAGTGGCGTGCTATCCTATTGTTTATCCAAATTCCAGACCCATAGGATTGTGAGAAATAAAAAATGATACTTGTTTTTAAGCCACTAAATTCTGCAGAAGCCTATTTTGTAGCAATACGTAACATGACCTAACTACTTAAATGTCTTTCCATACTACTACCCTAGAATAGTTAAACAATTCTCAGATTTGAGAACATAGAAGTGTTTACCTGACATATTCCTTTTTATTTTCTTCAGTAACAGGGATACTCTTGCCATTTGGTTTAAGTTCATGCTGAATAATTTCCCCATACGCATTATGTTCGACACAAAAGGTATGGTCCAAAACACCTGTAATATCATTCTCACTAGAAAGGAAAGAGAAGGAAAGACACTTAACTGGAAAATCTAAAATACAGACCCTACAGATGTATTAATCAGCAAGACAAAACTAAAATAGTTTTATAACATGACAAATATTACATCAGATTCCTTTGACTATCCTATGCTGCCACACCTCCTAGCTCTTGGGCAGAAAAGTCAAAGAGCTTTAACCCTCATAAACACAGTATGCATTTTACTTCCTGAGTAATGAGAAAGAGCAGTGGCCAAAGCTGGGCTTTACACAGGGAAACTTCAGTTACGTCTGGCTTGCAGGTAAGAGGCCCTACTCAAATCTGGGTACCCCAAGTAACCAAACACCTGAGCATCCTCAGCGAGAAAGCTACTCATGTGTTTGATAAAATAAGTATGGCCAATAGATCTTCATAAACTAATGTCCTCCCACAAAACAGAGCTGGTTCTTACAGATGCCCTTGTTTAAAGCATGGTTTCCACAATCACCACTTCTGCAAGAATCTGCTACTCTAACACACATGCGGGACTGGAATCAAATTTGCCTCACATCGAGAAAATCATTTGTATATAGTACTTTCTAAAACAGAATATACTATTTTTTTTCCTTTTTCAAGTAATAACATTCACTAGCTTTTAGAGATTTAAAATATACAGGAAAGTAGTAGAAAAAAGAAAAGTCTAATGTGGTCCTATGACTCAAATAATCACCCAATATTTTCTGTGTTTTTCTATTTTAAAGAAGTACATCCATTGAGACAGGATCTTTTTTAAAAGCTCAGATTCTAACTATAATGAACAGATACAAGATTCAATACATACAGTATCCACACTAAACTGTTATGAAGATCTGGATCAACTAACTCCATGTCATCCAAAGTAATTGACTTCCCAAGCAACTGTTTATAAAATGGCAATGTGAAACCACCATCAATATAATGTCCATGAAACACAGCCATTCCCATTATTCGTCCAACAAAGTGGAAATACGATAAGTGTTCCTGAAATTGAAAAGAGTTTATATAAATACTCAAGTTAGACACTATCCAGGGAATTTTTAATAAAAATTAAATATTTTAGCAACATAAATCTTTTTATAATAAGTATCAACTTATACTCTACAACTATTTAGATAGAACAGACTAATCATATTAAAGCTCAGTAATCATTAGGGAGAGTTTCTACTGGGCATGCTCAAGATTCTCTACATTGTCCTAAAATGTCACACCGGAGGCAATGCCTCTCTCAAAGGGTACAGTCACTTTGTAAAATTCATCTTCAGAAATTACATCCAGACAACATTCCACTGCAGCTTCATTTAAACCACGCATAGATCCTGTTCTCTTCCTCTCATATCCTGCTGAGCCCTTTACAATCCTGGCTCTGTTATGGAAGAAAAAGCTTTCAGTCCTAAACCTCCCTATTTCCTTGACCTAACCAGACACTGAAATTCAAAACCTCACAGATTTAGGGCACAGATTTCATGTCTTGCTTGGACTTGAGTCCCAACTCTGCCAATTACTAGCTATACATACTTGGGCAAATTACTTAATCCCTATAGGACTAATTTTCCACATCTGGAAAAATAAGGGTACTAATAGTATCTAAAAAGGATCTCTGTGAGGAATAAAGTGAGATGAAGAAGCCCATGGCACTGAACCTGGCAGAGGCTAAAAGCTCAACAAACATGAATTGTTATTACAATTGCAGTGGTGGTAATGGGGCCCCCAGGAGAACCTTCACCTAAAAATCTTCCCTTTATAATGGATTCCCTGCAATGAATCTAACATTCCTACCATGTTTGGATATACTTGATCTTTCGTGATAAATTGTTTTGTTAGTTGGATATTTGTATTTTAAACTTTTACTTCTCTATTTAATAAGTAATCTTTAAACCTCCCTCTGCCTGCCCTGACCGGTTTGGCTCAGCGGTTGGAGCGTCGGCCTGCGGTACAGAGAGACCCGGGTTCGGTTCCCGCTAAGGGAACGTACCTCGGTTGGAGTTTGTCCCCGGCCCTGGTTGGTCATGCGGGTGGCAGCCACTCGATGTGTCCCTTCACATCGATGTTTCTCTCTCTCTCTCTTCCTCTCTCTCCCTCCCACTCTATCTGAACAAAAAATGGAAAAATGTCCTCGGGTGAGGATAAAAATAAATAAATAAATAAATAAATAAATAAATAAATAAATAAATAAATAAAATAAAATAAACCTCCCTCTTATCTTAAAAACAGCTTTTGTTTCTTTGTAAAAAGTAATACATGTTCACAACCCAAAATCTAATATACAGAAGTAACTAACCTCAACATTACAATGTAGAGCCTTTCAATGTTTACACATATACCTATTTACTGAAATTGTATCATACTATCTTATAACCTTCTTTTCACATAATACCAACACAAATACTATCTTGACATGTCATTAACTAGTATCCAACAATGTCATTTTAGTGGCTATATAATAGGTCCCTGTATGGAAAAATAAGAGAAATAATATAAAAACAAATTAGTAACAGCTGCTAATTTGTTTTGAATGCTTAACAATATATTAATACTAATAATGTATAGCACTATGCTAAATACATAATGTGCAGGGTCTCGTTGAATTGTTACAACCCTTCTCTGAGGTACAAACTATATTATTATTTGCAATGATAAAATTGAGGTTCAAGTCAATATTTCTGCCCAAGATCACAAAGCTATAAGTAATGGGACCTGTTTATGATCTCATGTCTAACTCCAGAATCTATATTTTGTAACGGTTAATGTCGTTCGGCTTCATGTCATAATTTAATCAACCTCTGCTTATGGATAGTGATGCTGTTTCCAACTGGAGCTACTATAAACAGTAGACATCCCTATGCTCAAACTGGAGAACATATCCATAACATTTACTAGAGAAAATTTTCTAAAAGAGGAATTGCTAAGTCCAAGGCTGTGACTAGGACAAGGAGAGTAATCCTATGTCATAAACTACACTGACATTGAAAGATGAAAAGTAGTGTAGGTCACAAGTTAATTCATGTCACCAGAACCAGCAACCTTACCGGGTTGACTGCAGAATCAGGATTAATCTGCAATGTATAGATATCATCTCTTGAATACTGGAAGAGGCCATAGTATGGATTCAACATTTCATGTGACAAGAGATATAACCACTCCCTAGAAAACAAGATATGATAAATGAATTTCTTGTTAAAGAATATAAAATGCTATTAATCATTTTGGCAAATAATTTTTTAAATAAAAAAATAAATAAAGCACTAACTAGTTATATAAGGTCACACTGGAAAAACCTATGACCAAAAAGCAATGAAAACTCTTTTGTTTTGTTATTATGTATTCGCCTCCCACTCATTTGGGGCAACTTGATGACATATTAGCCGCAGACAGTATAAAGGTATTACCCAAAAGTACCAAATACTAATTACATAATGCACCCCAGAAGTCTGCTCCTTTTAGTTGCTAAATATATTTGTAATTCATGATAAATATAAAATAAAGGGAAGGGTATGGTTCAAAATATCTATGTGATCTACACTTCTGGTCCATTCCTGTCATGGCAGACTTGCACTAGGCAATATAGATACAGATGATATAATACAGCAGTTATTTACTCTCGCTTTTCGACAGGGTGTGCTTTGTTATTGGTATTGTTTTATAAGGAAATTTTATTATCCATTTCATCATCTTTTTTGTGTAAATCCTAAAATATAATGTAATAAAAGTATAAGTGGTCACTTGAAACCAAGAAGGGGTATAGAACACACTACATGCTTGCCCTAGCCCACATATTTTGGTGTGTTCCTTACCACCTTTTGGTTTCAAGTATACATCAATATTTTTAAAACCCCATAATAAATAGTTCTATCACCTTAAATTTATTAAATCCTTCATATTTTTCAAAGTATGAAAGATAAAATACAATCACTAGTCTAGGACTTAAAAAGATGCTATTCTAGCCTCAATTTTTGTCATTCTTAGACTAGGGAAGGTATTTAAATGATATGTTCTGTTATTATGAATTAAACACATTGAATAATACATTTTAAGGAAATACAGTGAACTACTTTTACAAAAAGTTAAAGAAAAATGTTTTTCAATTTTATATTGTGATGGAGTCTAGCTCAAATCACCGCCATTATTGTAATGCTTGAAAAGCCCTAGAGTTTAAAAACAAAAGTGAGGTCTCCATATAAGCAACTTTCTCAACACATATAACACTCACCTGATGTGTCTTATATGTTTTTTATACATGTATGTGTTTTTTTAAAGAAAATCCAAATTTCTGTTTGTTTCACCAAGTATTTAGAACACACATCAAAGCAGAACCCAACTGCTTTTGCTGCTACTACAGAATGAAGATCAGAAAAAAGCAGTTTACTGCCCTATCCCTTTTAGTCTGCCCAAACCCTGAGAGGAGTGAGATTAAGAAATAAACAACAGCTGAGAGAGAAGGTTGGAGGGGAGGGGGGAGATTAACCAAATTTATATGCATATATGCATGACCAATGGACACAGATAATAGTGCAGTCAAGGCCTGAGTGGGGGGCGGAAGCAGGGTGGAGGAGGCATCAACGGGAGAAAAAAGGAAGGACATCTGTAATATTCTCAACAATAAAGATAATTAAAAAAAAAAAAAACTACTTATCTGGCCTATACATATAATTATAGCATTTAGATTCCATTAGCTGATAATAAATTTTCCCAATAAGCATTCAAAATCAAGTTATGAATCAATCACAAGAATTCTACAGAAACTATCAAGTCCTAAGTATGATGTACAAGTGATCGATTCTAAAAATCCAAACTAAAGAAACTATCCATTTGCAGGTAAAAAGGTTGCAGAATGAAAATAAGTAATGCTAACTAACAATTATGGGACTTGGTGGAAACACAATTTAATTAAGGCTGGATTTATTTATTTATTTTTATCCTCACCCGAGGACATTTTTCCATTTTTTGTTCAGATAGAGCGGGAGGGAGAGAGAGGAAGAGAGAGAGAGAGAAACATCAACGTGAATGGGACACATTGAGTGGCTTCCACCCGCACGACCAACCAGGGCCGGGGACAAACTGCAACTGAGGTACGTTCCCTTAGCGGGAACCGAACCCGGGTCTCTCTGTACCGCAGACCAACGCTCCAACCGCTGAGCCAAACCGGCCAGGGCAAGGCTGGATTTAGATCAGGGGAAGTAGAATGATCATGATGGTCCCTTAGAATGTTACAATACAGCCCTGGGCAGTTTTGCTCAGTGGTCAGAGCATGGCCCCTGGATCGAAGGGTCTCAGGTTCGAGCCCCAGCCCTGGTCAGGGTTGTGTGGGAGGCAAGCAATCAATGTGTCTCTCTCACATCCATGTGTGTATGTGTCTCTCCCTCCCTCCCTCCTTTCCACTCTATCAAGAAAATTCAATGGAAGAATATCCCCAACTGAGGATTAACTAGAACAAAAATGTTTCAACACAGTGCTATAATGTTTCTGCTCCATTTACATAAAGTAAATTTTCACACCTGGGAAAAAAAATACTTTATGTATTACTATAATATAAGGACCACTGATGATACACACACACACTCACAAACACTTCTTTAAAAAGTTTAAAACACATGGCAACGGAAGCAAAGAGAAACAGTATTCAGCTTAGATTATGTCATTAAAGTCTCAAGATTGTTCCTGACAATATAAAACAGAGGGAATAATATGTACTAAAGGAGAGATGAAGAAAATATAAAGCTTGCAGATCTGCCAATAGTCCAGGTTGCAGCTAGTTTTCAGAGAAAGTCTCACTGGGCTATATGATCCATTAGGGAGTTCCCTAATACTCTTCTGGTAAAAGTACTATCCTAACCTCATTATGAATGTACTGATTAAGATATCCTTCTATTGCAAACATTAGGGAATATTATACTAGAAAATAAATATCAATGAGAAGGTTACACCACAGGAAGTATCTTAAATTTGTAAATATAAGGATCCGCAGGTCATTTCCTGATGAGTAAGTCTTTACCTGGCAACCCCTCCATAGTCCAGACCTTCTTCTCCACGAAATTTTATCATTAATCGCTTCCAGAGATCTTTTGGTCTCATTTTCATGACCTGTCGATATGACTCCTGAAAAGAAATTTTCATATACTATAATTACTAGGTGCTTTTAACCTGTTTTTTAAACCCTCCCTCCCATTTCACCTACAAAACATGTTTATAAATAAGGTGAAATTCAACAATCAAATCAATGGATAAACTCCAAGTATTTGAAATTTCTTGGAACTTCTGAAAACAAAATGAATATAGCTTAATAGTACTGAAATCAATTCACTTGATAAATATTATATTAAAAGCCTACTAAGTGAAACTCCACATTTAAGTTTTATGAACCATAGCAATGATTTCACTCATATTAAAAACAGAATTTGATAAAAATGCCAAAACTTTTAAGTTGGTTGACCTAAATCTAGGTTACAGGCATCAGCAGAAAGAAAAGGTAAGGAAAAGAAAGTTCTAAAAGAATATAAGTAATCATTAGTGTTCTCCTCATTAAATTGACAATGTTATATTATTTTAAAATACAAATGATGGACTACAAATAAGGCCAGAACTGTTCTGAGAGAAAAAAGTTCATCTTTGGGGAAAAAGATGATCAAGTCCTGAAACCTCTTGCCCAGAAATCCTCTAATGAGTGGAAACTCATTACTTAGAACTCTGCCACTGATTATGTAAGAACTTTGAGGTTGATATTAGGGCTATAAAATCCAAAGATAAAATAATAAACTAGGAAGGAAGATTTTCAATAAATTAAGGAAGCAGTCCAATAATAATTAAACAAAAGTATTTTCTGAGTTAAGAATTCCTTACCTTTTGGAGGAATTAGAAAGTAAGAGATGGATGATACTGTGGTCTTTTAGAACTCATTAAAAATAAATATATGCAATGCAGAGACCAAGCTGAACCAACTAAAACATCAAACACTCTTCATCCCATTTAAATGTTTACATTATACATTACATCTCTCCAATATTATTTCCTTTAGTCCCCACAATGGAAAAAATATATAATAAAAACTCTCCCATTCTAAAGAGTCTCAAAAAGTACTCTTAGAAAACAGAGAGCAAAACAATGAAAGTTAATGTTTCTCCATTTTATTCATTTTTATTTTGTTAATCCTCACCCGAGGCTATTTTTCCATTGATTTTTTTTTAAGATAGTGTAGGAGGGAGGGAGGGAGAGAGAGAGGAAATCATCAATGTGAGAAAGACACAACTGGTTGCCTCCTGGCACAACTCCAACCAGGGCCAGAGATCAAACCTGCAACCCAGACCAGGAATTGAACCCAGGACCCTTCGGTCCATGGGACTACACTCTAATTGCTGAGCCATCCTGGCCAGGGCTAATTTTTCTCTGTTTTAAAATAAGACTTGTAAGTTTACCTCAAAAATCTCTTCCCTGGAAACCTCAATACGGCAATGGCCAGCCTGAGGCTGTTGTTGGGAAAGTTCTTGCCGCAAAATTTTCAATTTCTGAACCAGGTCTCGCTTGTACCGTGGAACTGTCAGACACTCTGTGTCATCAGGGCATAACAACACCACCTGCTGTTGCTGTTGGTCTTTCAGTTGGTTCTGCCGACTGGAAGTAAACAAAAATACTATTAAAATATTTAAATGAAAAAAAGCTTACAATTATACATTTAAAATAGCATCATACTATAAAACAAGTCTAGCTATATCATTTCCACATCTTACTGTGTTCTTGACTTGTCATTTTTGACAATAACAAACTAGCTCCAAAGTTCATTTTTCAGAATCCATATTAATTTATGGAATTGAAAAATGGAGTTTTATCCATAAAACTTTACAATGCTATGGAGAACAAACTTTTCAAATACCGTTTCCATTTTCTTCTGCATAATTTACCATCAGCCGTTCTAAAATTCAGGCATGTGCTAAGCTCTGTGCCTGTTATCTAGAACCTGTTCCTCTGGAAGAGACAAAACAGTCTGAACTGGTAGCTTGGCAGAGACCCTTCTCCTATACACACTAGCCTGCACCACAGGAATGTGGGCGGTCGGTCACATGTAAGTTACTGGTACCAAGAAACAGCACTTTACAACCAAGTCCAAATGCTTAATAGAGTGACTACTTTTCTTTTCACTGTAGTAAAATATACATAACATAAAATTTATCATTTTAACCATTTTTAAGTATATGGTCAGCAGCAATAAGTACATTCACATTGTGCTAAAGTGACTTCTAACTGCATATATATATGGCTTACAACAAACACATGAAAAGAATCTTCCAGGTAGAGCAGAAATATAATGAATTTTTAAAAGAAACTTATGATATAATGAACTAGTTAATCTCAATAAGTTGTCAAGAAATAAAGTCAGGTAATTTGCTACTGATGTCTACTCCGACACTGAGCAATTCCATTGGAGTTTAATTTTGCACACAACAGCCCAGCATGGCTCAGTGGTTGAACATGAACACATGCACCAAGAAGTCGCTAGTTCGATTCCCAGTCAGGGCACGTGCCCAGGTTGTGGGCCAAATCCCCAGTGGGGGCCATGCAGGAGGTGGCCAATCAACGTTCTCTCTCATCGATGTTTCTATCTCTCTCTCCCTCTCCTTTCCTCTCTTTCTAAAATCAATAAAGAAAAAAAAAACTTTAATTTTGCACACAACAGACAAGAGCACAATCTCCTAATCTAAAGGTAAAGGGCAATGGTAGCTATGATAAAATAAACAAAAATGACTTCCAGTTCTCTGAAAAATCACCCAAACTTATTTTACACACAGTGGTTGTTAATGTACTAGACCAAATTTTATGCCTAAAATATATAACTATCCAAAGAAAATGCATCTTTGATGAAAATTACAAATCACTATTTAGTACTCTCATGAACATTATACACACATTTTTTACACACACACACAAAATCAAAACAGAAGGTATTTAAAAACACTCCCTAAACAATTGTATTAATTCTATGCAAAAGAAAAAATAAACTAAGGTATATGTTACACCAGATATAGTAACTTAACTCCAAATGGATCAGAGACCTCAATGTAAAACCATAAAACTTCTGAAACACAGAAATTGTTATGACTTGCGTTAGACAAAGTTTTCTTAGCTATGCCATCAAAAGAATAATCCATAGAACAAAAGGATAGTTGAGCACTTCCAGTCAAGATGGCAGCATAGGTACTTGCCTCCTCCCACAACCACATCAAAATTACAACTAAACTACTGCACAGCCATCATTAAGAACCACCTGAAATCAAGCTGAATGGAAGTCCTACAACTACAAAATTAAAGCAGCAGCTACGTCAACGGGGCGGAGGGGCGGAGGGGCGGAGGGGCGGAGGGGCGGAGGGGCGGAGGGGCGGAGGGGCGGAGGGGCGGAGGGGCGGAGGGGCGGAGGGGCGGAGGGCGGAGGGCGGAGGGGCGGAGGGGCGGAGGGGCGGAGGGTGGCGTGAGGGGGGCGGAGGGGCGGAGGGGCGGAGGGGCGGAGGGCGGAGGCGGAGGGGCGGAGGGGCGGAGGGGCGGAGGGGCGGAGGGGCGGAGGGGCGGAGGGGCGGAGGGGCGAGGGGCGGAGGGGCGGAGGGGCGGAGGGGCGGAGGGGCGGAGGGGCGGAGGGGCGGAGGGGCGGAGGGGCGGAGGGGGCGGAGGGGCGGAAGGGCGGAGGGGCGGAGGGGCGGAGGGGCGGAGGGGCGGAGGGGCGGAGGGGCGGAGGGGCGGAGGGGCGGAGGGGCGGAGGGGCGGAGGGGCGGAGGGGCGGAGGGGCGGAGGGGCGGAGGGGCGGAGGGGCAGGTCCCACACCTACATGTGGCAGGTAAAAATCGGGAGGATACCTCAGCTGCGAAGGTCCTCCCTGAGGAGATTGGGGTCCCCATCCCACACCACGTGCCCAGCTCAGGGTTCCAGCACCACAGAGAAGTCCCCATAACTTCTGGCTGTAAAAACCAGCAGGAACTGAGGCTAAAGGCGGCTGACGCTGCTGGAGACCCAGGTAGTTCCTCTTAAAGGGCCCGTTCATGGATTTACTTGGACTTGCTCCCTCTAAGCTTGGAGGGGAGGCAGTGTGAAAGGCATCAGAGACATACAAGTAAGAACTGAGCTGTTTGGCCTCAGGACAAGGGCTGGAGAGGCAGCTTTCTCTCAGACAGATGTGCTGGTGGAGGCTGTTGTTCCTTTGGTGAGCCCTTCCCCCACGGGCAGTGGGTCACCATATCTGGGACTCCAGAAACCTGGCTCACACTATTTGCCCCACCCTGGTGATTCCCTGAGGCCCTGCCCCTCCCAACTTTCAGGCCCACCCAACCTGTATCCAAAGGCTTTACCATAGGATTGGCCTGTCTTGGATCCTGCTTCAGTTTCCTAAAATCTCTTAAACAAGCAGCATCTGGTCTCAGCGAGCCCCATACCTCTCATTAAATGGCCCCATGCCTGGCACTAGAAGCAGCCAGACTTGGCTCACGACTTGGATTTTCCTGGGCACCTCCAAGCTCAGCACAAGAAGCAGCCCTCTGAAGATCACTTTGTAGCTTATGCCAGGTGGCCCCAGGTAGAACACAGGCAGAGGATGACCTTGCCCTAGAACCAGCACACCCAGTGGGTAGCTTCAGACCACATTTAAGCACCATCACCCAACCACCTCCACAAGTCACACACTCAATGAGTGGACTCAATGGGAACCAGAGCCCTGCTGAAGTAAGTCTTGCTCTGTCTGTTGGGCCCCTACAACGCAGATCCTCCAAGGGAGTCAGAGCCAGTGGTCAGTGGGCACAGCCAGTCCTTGCAGCTAATCAGCCTGAGTAAATAAATCCCTCCCATTGACGTAGCAACAGCAATCAAGACTCAATTATAGAAAAAGAAGGACAAAGTAAGTGAGATCACAATACCAGATATCAGGTTATACTACAAAGCAACTGTAATCAAAACAGCCTGGTACTGGCACAAGAACAGGCATATAGACCAGTGGAACAGAATAGAGAACCCAGAAATGGACCCAAGGCAATATGCTCAATTAATATTTGACAAAGGTGGTAAGAGCATACAGTGAAGACAGTCTCTTTAATAAATGGTATTGGGAAAATTGGACAGCTACATACAGAAAAATGAAACTAGACCATCAATCAACTAACACCATACAAAAGAATAAACTCAAAATGGATAAAAGACTTAAATGTGACCCATGAATCCATAAAAATTCTAGAAGAAAATGTAGGCAACAAAATTTCGGACATCATACGCAGCAGAATTTTCACTGATACATCACCTAAGGCAACAGAAACAAAGAAGAAAATGAACACATGGGACTACATCAAACTCAAAAGCTTCTGCACTGCAAAAGAAACAATCTTCAAAATGGAAAGGCAACCCACTGTATGGGAGAACATCATTGCCAATGATGTATCAGATAAGGGGTTAATTTCCAAAATATATAGAGTACTCATACAACTCAACAAAAGGAAGACAAAGAACCCAATTAAAAAATGGGCAGAGGAGCTGAACAGACACCTCTCCAAACAGGACATACAAATGGTCAAGAGACATATGAAGAAATGCTCAACATCACTAATCATCAGAAAGATGCAAATTAAAACAACAGTGAGTTATGACCTCACACCTGTCAGAATGGCCACCATCAACAAATCATCAAACAACAAGTGTTGGCGAGGGTGTGGAGAAAAGGGGACTCTAGTACACTGCTGGTGGGAATGCAGACTGGTGCAGCCACTATAAAAAACAATATGGTGTTACCTCAAAAAATTAAAAATTGAACTGCCATTTGACCCAGTAATCCCACTTCTAAGAATATACCCTAAGAAGCCTGAAACACCAATCAGAAAGAATATATGTATCCCCATGTTCACAGCAGCACTATATACAATAGCTAAGATGTGGAAATAGCCCAAGTGTTGATCAGTAGACAAATGGATAAAAGAGCTGTGGTACATATACACAATGGAGTACTATGCAGCTGTAATAAAGAAAGATCTCTTATCCTTTGAGATGACATGGAGGGACCTGGAAAGTATTATCCTAAGTGAAACCAATAAGCAGAAAAAGACAAATACCACATGATCTCACTTATTTATGGAATATAATGAACATAACAGTCTGAGGAATAGGGTAGACCCAGAAACATGGAAATAGGGTACAGACTGACAACCCTCAGAAGAGGGGGTGGTGGGGGGAGGGAAGAGATAAACCACAGAACTTATATGCATGTATGCATAACCATGGACATGGACAACAAAGCCGGGGACGGGGCAGGGGGATGGGGAGGAGGGTGTCAATTGGGTAAAAAAGGAGAAACATCTGTAACAACAACAACAAAAAGATTCAATTATAAAAGAAAGGTGTACAGTCCACACAAGGGGTGCACCTCAAGGGCCCAGCTGGGGTGATCAGGGAAGTTGTGCCACTGGACCCTACAGGACATCTACAACAATAGGCCAACCTATGAAGTCTAGGAGACATAGCAACTCTACCTAATACATAGAAACAATCATAGGGAAGCAGCCGAAATGAGGAGACAAAGTAACATGTCCCAAATGAAAGAAAAGAACAAAAACCCAGGAAAAGAACTAAACAAAATAGAGATAAGCAATCAATCAGATGAAGAGCTCAAAACACTGGCTATAAGGTTGCACAAGGAACTTAATGAGACCTTCAAGGAATTTAAGGAGACCTCCAAGGAACTTAGTAAGAACATCAACAACATAAAAAAGGACCAGTCAGAAATGAAGGATGCACTAACTGAAATAGAGAATAATTTACAGGGAATCAATAGTAGAGTACATAAAGCCAAGAAGCAAACCATCAAATTGGAATATAAGGAAGCAAGAAACACCCAATCAGAACAGCAAAAAGAAAAAAGAATTTAAAAAAATGAGGACAGTGTAAAGAGCCTCTGGAACAACTTCAAGCATGCCAATTTTCGCATCATAGGGGGTGCCAGAAAGAGAAGAGAGAGAGCAGGAAATTGGAAACCTATTTGAAAAACTAATGACAGAAAACTTCCCTAATGTGGTGAATGACACGGACATACAAGTCCAGGAAGCACAGAGAGTCCCAAACAAGATGAACCCAAAGAGATCCACACCAAGACACATCATCATCAAAATACCAAAGGTTAAAGACAAAGAGAGAATCTTAAAAGCAGCAAGAGGAAGGCAGCTAGTTACCTACAAAGGAGCTCCCATAAGACTGTCAGTTGATTTCTCAAAAGAAACTTTGCAGGCCAGAAAGGAGTGGCAAGAGATATTCAAGGTGATGAAAAGCAACGACCTACAACCAAGATTACTCTATCCTACAAAGCTATCATTTAGAATCGATGGACATATCAAGAAATTCCCAGACAAGAAAAAGCTAAAGAAGTTCATCACCATCAAACCAGTATTATATAAAATGTTGAAGGGTCTTCTTGAAGAAGAAGAAAAATATGAATAATAAAATGGCAATTAATACATATCTATCAATAATTGAATCTACAAACAAAATGAGGAAGTAGAACAGAAAGAGACTCATAGATACAGAGAACTGTTTGCTGCGAGTCAGATGGGTGGAGGCTGGAGAGATGGGTGAAAAAGATGAAAGAATTAAGTACAAATTGGTTGTTAGACTGATGAACCTCAAAGGAAAGGGGGGAAGGAGGGCAGGATGAGATAAACCAAAGAACTTCTATGCATATATGCATAACCAATGGACACTGACAATAGTGTGGAGAAGGCAGGGGGTGGGGCGTTGGAGAGGAGAAGGTCAATGGGAGAAAAAAGGGGGGACATCTGTAATACATTCAACAACAAACATGAGTTAAAAAAACAAAAACAAATGGATACTCTCTGTCAAATTGATGTCAAATGGATACAAATTGAACTCTGTCAAATTTCAAAGAAATTTCAAAAGACATTGTTAAGAAAATGAAAAGATAAGTCACAGACTAGGAGAAAATCTTTTCTAAGCATATACCTGATATAGAACTTGTATCTTAAGTATGTAAAGTAAACTCTCAAAACTCAAAAGTTTAAAAAAAAATTCAAATTTTTTAAAAAGGAGCAAAAAATTTCACCAAAGATATACAGATGTCAAAAAACACAGAAAAAGATGCTCAACATCATGTCATGAGAGAAATGCAAATTTAAACTATAATAAGAAACCACTACGTACTTATTAGAATGTCTCAAATTAGTAAGGCACCAAGTGTTAGCAAGGGTGTGGAGCAACCACAACTCTCACACGCTGCTGGCAGTTGTAGCCTTTGTGATAAATTGATCATAGCAAATAAAGAATTCCCCTGGTTCTGTGAGCCATTCTAGAAAATTGTTGAACCCGAGGGGGTCATGGGAACTTCTCAATTTATAGCCAGTCAGTAAGAACTGGCATCTGAAGTGGGGACAGTTTTGAGGGACTGAGCCCTTAACCTGTGGGGTCTGACACTAACTGCAGGTATTGTCAGAACTGAATTCAATTGCTGTGCACCCAGTTGGTGTCTGGACACTTAGAGAATTGGTAGGTATAACACATTTGGTGTCCCAGTTCTATGGGTAGAAACAGATCATAGAAGGCCACATGAAGACAAATATTGGGATGATGTGTCTATGTGCCAAGGAACAAGATTTTCATAAACTTCCAAAAGCTAGGTGAGAGGCAAGGAACAGATTCTCCTTCCAAGCCTCCAGAAGGAACCAAGCCTTGCTGACAACTTGAGTTTGACCCTCTGGCCTCCAGAACTATGAGAGAATGAACTTCTACTGTGGCATGTGTTGTGGCAGCCCTAGAACACTAACACAGGTGGAAGCCTCACAGGAAGGGGCGAGAGAGGGAAGTACAAAGACACAAGAAAACTTGTGGGTTGCTGGATATATTCACTATGTTCATTGTGGTGACGGTTTCGTGGGTGTATAATATGTCAAGACTTAAATTATACACTTTTATACACAGTTTACTGGGTGCCCATTACATTTCAATAAAGCTGATTTATAAATCCAAGGTATATCGAGCCCATTCACAAAGACTTGTATGAAAGACTAAGTCCTGCAAATGGGAAAGAAGACTTAAAGCTAAAAAACAAAACTAACTTGCAAAAAAAATGCTCTGGGATGGATTCAGCTATTCTGGAGATACTTCTGATGCACTCAGCGGGAATAAATATCCATCTACCCCATAAAGCGGCATGTCTCTTCAGGTGTGCCAAGGTGCACCTTTGATTCATACTCTTTGCCTAACATTTCAGGACAGGTTGCTACTTAAGTACAGTAGGATTAAAATACTCACATATCAAAGTAAAACTTGTCATACTCTTACATAAAATTTTGTTCAACATAAGTAATTTATAATTGAAGACAGCAGACAATCTATCACATTTATTACAAAAAGCATCATGAGTCTTCTCTTGTTCAGACTCGCATTTTCACAGTTATTGTTTCAAAAACTTACTTTAAAACTAAATGCAAGTTAGCAGAGAGTCGAGGATCTGTAAATTGTGTTGTTCTGTTGTTATGGTCAACAAAATAAACTCTGCCTGTTGCTGTATTACGAATCTCCCATCCAGGAGGCAATGGACCAAGCTCTTCACAATTGATGTTGCTAAGATCCCTGCAAAAACAAATATAAAATAAAAAATACCTCATTGCTGGGCCTGCTGAGCCAAGCCAGTGTAAATGACACAGAACAATTCCATGAAGTCTGAGAAAATGTATTGTTTCAGAAACGTGAGATGTTCAGCTGGAATCTTTAATTCCCAATGGCTTAACAAACTTGCATATTCAAAACCCAATCCATAAATGGCTCAGAAACTTATCACATAGCCCGCATTTTTAGAAAGTTTGTTCCTAGGTTTTAATGTGACGCAGATTTTAAATTAATATAAAAGCAATCCCGATACTTGCCAACAAAAACTGTACTTCAATACTTATCTGACAAAATACTGTATTGTTTTACAAATGTTAGTGGTATAAAGAATTCAATGTTTTCTAAAATTTCAATTCTTTCTTCATTACTACTCTGCAAAATTTGTATAAATAAATGTTCGCTCCATTATTAATTTTTAGCTCTCCAACAAAGCAAAACCGGAAATAGTATTAAAATTATGAACATGAATAATCACAGTATATGTTTTAAAGGATAGTGTCTCCCTTTTGAATTTTGAAAGCTGTAGAGCTAGTGAATGAAGAACCTGAGTAAGACATGTAAGGAAGAAGACTCTAAAGTTTATCACTAAAATAAAAAAAGCAGAAAGACTTTTAATAGACCAAAGACCATTGTTACTGTATCACACATTCTTAAAATACTATTATATATAGACAAAGATTTACACGGCCTTAAAGAATGAAATAAAAGCAGCACGTCTAATGTAAATTTAAACTATAATAGATAACTATAATGACAAATCTCATCAAAATCATGTTTTAAAAGTTAAGCTAGAGAAAAATTTTTCCTGAAATAATCTCCTCTTGGTTATAATGAAACACCAGTGATGGGCACATATGAACACCCATAGATGTGTTGAAACAGTAATTCTGGCTTCTGCTTATAGGTGCTCCAAGAGATTCTGCTGCTGCAGAACTAAAGCTTGAAAAGAACACACTATTTGAGACACTGCTAGTCTCAAAAGAGACAAGGGGAAAAGTTCCAACAATCCTTATCAAATTTAAAATAAAAAAGTGAATTGAGCTGGCGCTGGTACCCGAGTGGCAGGTAGGCACAGGGCTGCTGGTGGGTAGATGTTAATTGGGAAACAGCCTCAGGCCAGCAAGGTTGGAAAGGGAAACCTGAAACTTCCTCCCTAAACTGAGAATAAAAAGGAAAACTGAAGTGATTCCAGGAAAACTTCCTAAATTTCTACTTTAGGTCCATAGAACTCAAACCAATTAAGAGCAAACTCACAAAGATCAGCAAACACTTCAGGAAGGAAGTCAATAAAAACAATAAACCACAGAATTAGATCCCCAAGTACTGTCAGAGATCAAACAAAGAGAATAGCTATGACATGCAACATTAAAAAAAAAAAAATAAGGGAACAATTACAAAGGTAAACTATCAACGAAAGATTATTAAGAATGAACAGATAAAATTTTTTAAGTGAACTTTTAGAAATAAAAAGCAAATACTGAAATCAAAGAACAAGTCTTTTTTTTTTTTAATTCTCACTCGAGGACATTTTTCCATTTTTTTATTCAGATAGAGCAGGAGGGGGAGAGAGAGAGAGAGAGAGAAACATTGACGTCAAAGGGACACATCGAGTGGCCGCCACCCCCACGACCCAGCCAGGGCTGGGGACAAACTGCAGCCGAGGTATGTGCCCTTAGCAGGAACCAAACCCGGGTCTCTGTGGACCCGCAGTTCGATGCTCTAACCACTGAGCAAACAGGCCAGGGCCGAAGAACAATTCTTTTGAAATAATGCAGAATTTGATTTTATATAATTTTATTTATAACTTTATAAATCTATAGTCATACGTGGGAGAGCTCTAAAGAACTGATTAAAAGCCTGGTGGGTGTGGCTCAGTGGCTGAGCATCAACCCATGCACCAAGAGGTCACTAGTTCCATTCCCAGTCAGGACACATGCCCAGGCTGTGGGCCAAATCCCTGTTAGGGGGGCATGCAGGAGGCAGCCAATCAATGTTCTCTCTCACGGATGTTTCTATTTCTCCCTCCCTCTCCCCTTCCTCTCTTCTTTAAAATCAATAAAAACAAAATTTAAAAAGATTAAAAGAGCAGAAAACTGGAAACAATCTTTATTTCCAGTTGGAAAATGACTGAAGAAAAAGGGAATGTTACACAGCCATAAAAAGTAATACAGATCTGTATTTCAAGACTACATAGTCAGTATGCAATGGCATTAATCATTGTTTTAAAGAGATATGCAAAACTTGATGAAATAGGACTTCTCAGATCAATCTAAATTTACTGGATATCTTTAAAGTATCTGAGTTACACTATTTTATAAATACCTTTGAATAGTGGTATTTTAATAGAACCTAAATATTTACAGTCTGCTTTGATAAAAGATCCTCCATACAAATGGCATGTTTACTAAAAGATCCTCCAAAAACAAAGATATGATGATATATAATTATATAATGATATGACTTTTAAGATTAGCAATCTGGAGCATAGAGACTAAAGGGAAGAAAAATCCAGAGCATAATTTCATAAAGTTATCATTTAATACTCAACATGAAATATTCTTAAACCTTTACAGAAACCACATATTCACATTAATGAAAAACTGACATTTCCTTAGGAATAAGAACATATTATCAACAGTGCTGCCAAAACCTCTCCCTATTTCATCTTCTGATGCCAGTTTACATACTGTTCTTTCAACAGATAACTCAAGATCTACTTTCTCACTATTATAAGACATTTAGTTTTTAAAAATCACTTTCTTCTTATACACTTCCTTCTAATGATTTTAAATTATTTTATTAAAAAGTTCATTATTGACCTTCAATTGGATTAAACAAAATCCATAACACTTCTTTTCATAATTTGCACAACAAAAGTCTTGTTGCTAAAAGTTAGGCCCATGGATTTTTTTCAGTGAGCTTATTATAATAAAACAATTTCCACCCCACTACTTTTTTTAAACTAACAGCTTATATTACCAACACACATAAATGGCAATCTTCATACAATAGTTAGTGATAGCACATTTCTTTGGTTGTCACCCTCGAAAGTTTCTCATTAAACTCTATGACAAAATAAAACATTTTTATTATTTTTACTATTTTCCTTTATTTATAAATAAAGAGAAGGTATCAAAGCAATCCAAGATCAGCTAGTCACATGTGGTTTTGATTCAAATACATGAATCTCGATGACTAGAGCTCTGAGTATAATCTTTAGGCAAAAAAAGATCTCAGGTAAATGTACTCAACAATGTCTGTAGTTCAAATGTACAAGTTTTGGCATTTAATAGAAATTTAATTTAATTAGGTTCTTTCTTTTCTATATTAAAATGAAACTTTATTAAGGAACACATAAAAGAACATTGAATACACTTATATAAGGTTAAAATAAATAAACTTTTTTTTTTTTAATCCTCACCTGAGAACCGTTTTTTGCATTTATTTTCAGATAGAGTGGGAGGGTAAGAGGGGTGAAGAAAGAGAGAGAGAAGCATTGATGTGAGCGAGATACATCGACTAGTTGCCACCCACACAACCCCAACCGGGCCTGGGACAAACTGCAACAGAGATACATGCCCTTAGCAGGAACCGAACCCGGGTCTCTCTGGTCCTCGGGCCAACGCTCTAGCCGCTGAACCAAACCGGCCAGGGCAAATAAACCATTTTTAAAAAAAGCTTAACCAGAAATAAAAATATCAACTTACTATCCTTTAAAAAAAAGCTATGTATGTTTTTGCAAGGTCTTGTATGTTTTTTCTCCCCCAGGTCAATTTTCAAACTCCTACAAGACTCATGTTTTTGCTCAGATTCTTTTAAGAGGGAAAAGTAGAGAGGAACTGACTGGGGAGGGGAGGGAGGGGTAGGGCACAGAGATAGGACTGCAGAGAGGTAGATTAGACTTTCTATTGAACGTCAAACTGAAATGAGTATTAGAACTAGCCAAACTTTTACATAGCTATTTTAAGATGTTGAAGATTAAATGATCAAAGAAATCCTAGGTAAAATGGATACTCAATGGTATGAAGATCATTTAGAATGTGGTCTTACCTAGGTACTCTTGGATCATGCCATGTGCTCACACCAGTCTGGGTATGTAAGAAATACACCTGACCTTGTTGTGTTGTCCTCTGTTCTGTAAAATTAAGAAACACTAATAATGAAAACATATTCACAATGTCCAAATCAAAGACAGCATTAGATATGAACATATATTAACAAGTAAATTATTCAAATTACCAATCCATATTATTACAAAAATTTTGCTTCACAAACCATTAATTCTAAACTCAGAATACATTTTCTGCTAGAAACAATCTTATAGTGATGAAGGGTCACAGTTTAGCTATCTAAAGCCAACTATACTTATAATGTGGCTCAAATACTATGTTGCAATGCAAAACAGAAAAGAAAAATGTGACAGTACCAATCATTCAACAAAACAAACATGAAAAAATGATCCTTTGTCTTGAACATGGAGCCTGAGGGGAACAAACTGAGGCTCAGAGGAAAAGGCTAGTCAATGTTGGGAAGATTCTGAGGGACTTTCAGAAACTTTCAAAGAGTTTGCGGGACAGTAATTTTTTTCCACATGCCTAATTTTATACCAAAACTTGTGTTTTTTTCCTTTTCTTGAGAAAGGTGTATTCTTAAAACTACATTTGGACTTAAAGAGAAGCAAAGAAAATGAAATACAGGAGAGACACTCTATTATAAAAAAAATAGGCAAAGATGGAAAAATAACCAAGTTAGAAAGAGGAAGACTAAAGAGCAGTGTGCATACTAGGAGAAGAGTAAATGGTGACATTAACTCAAAGCCCTTGGAAAGAGTGAGGAAGCCAGGGCAGAGAGACAGGATCTGTAAAAGGTTCCTTCATTGGTGGTTTTTAGTCTTTACTTATTCATGTTTTAAGCAACAGAACTATTTTTCTTTAAACAAAATCTAATGAAAAAATTCCAACATATAAAATGATAATACTATTTCTAACACTTATTAGTATAAATTTAATTTGTTTATAAACCTATAAAGTCAATGAATTTAAACTTCTTAAATGATAAACTTTTAAAATTATAAACATAAAAAATGTTTTAAATTGGTTATAGATAACAGCTGCAATAATTTCAGCCTTGGTACCTACTTTACTCCTGTTTTGTTTGGATTAAAATTTTTTTGTCCATATCATACAAATATTATTCAAGTATAACCACCCCCACTTAGAATAGTTTGCCTTACAATCCCAATTAAAAAGAAATGGCAGGAGTCTGGCCGGTGTGGCTCAGTGGCTGAGCACTGATCCATGCACCAAGAGGTCTCCGGTTCCATTACCGGTCAGGACACATGCCCAGGTTGTGATCACCGGGGCGGGGGGGGGGGGGGGGGGGAGGCATGCAGGAGGCGACCAATTGATGTTCTTTCATCATCATTGTTTCTAGCTCTCTCTCCCTCTCTCTCTCTAAAATCAATAAAGAAAAAAAAATTTTTTTTTTTTTTTAAGAGAAATGGCAGCAAATACTTTACTCTGGTTAAGCTTTTTTTTTTTAATGGTTTATTTGCTCTGGCCGGTTTGGCTCAGCAGTTAGAGCAGCTACAGTTTATTAAGTGCTTTCTATGCCAGACACTGTCTGTGTCAGGCACTTCACCTAAATTACCATTTATTTACTACAACAAATCTCCATGGTTGGTACTATTATTTTCCTCTTTTTATAGAAGACAAAATTGAGGTTCAGAGAGGTTAAATAATGTGCCCTCTACTGCACGACTAATATGTGACAAAGCCAGGATATAACACGTCTGCGTGTCTCCCAAGCCCAAGCTATGCTATTAAGTTCACCTGTGCAGCACAGCACAATGGACAAATTGGGTTTTTATAAATTAAGTAAAGAGTTATAATATGTTAAAAAAAAATAAAGGTAAAATCATGCATCTGCAGAACAGTTCAAAAAATATTCTACAGAAAAAATAAAACAGTTAGATCACGCGATTCCCAATGTTGGTCGCTAGGTGTCACAAGCAGCCCAAAAATAGTTTATGAGCAGGCTGTTGAGAGGATAAGGATGTAACTGGTTAGCATTTAACAGGACAGTTGAGTTCATACTATTTACAAGAGTGTTCACAAGTTGTCAATTAGAAGGTTTGTATTCAACTAGAAGATTCATGTCATCTTTCACATTACATGAATCTTTAGGAAATTATATAAGATTATAATAATTCTGCATAAACCGAAATAACTAAATCATTTACAACAATAACCCAATTACTTAGATAACCCAACAAATATATAAAAACCATCAAAATATACTTTTGAAATTATTTCTAAATATGTACGTCTAGAAAATTACATTTCAGGTCTGACTTCAGATTACCATTACCAATATCAATACCATCTTCCCTTTATACAGTGCCTATTTACAAAGAAGTCTCACATTGTTTCATATGCTCCTCTCAATACTTTTGTGATAAAGAGAGGTATCACTCATCTTATTTCATTATAAAAGAACAAAAAGGCTGAGGTTAAAATGACTAGCCCAATGTCAAACTGTTGGTTAGGTAGTCTTCTACAACGTCAGACTTTTCAAAGGTGGGAGGTTTTACATTTTTATTTTCATGCAGAATTCCTAAACCCAGTTTAATAACTTCTTTAAAAGTTGATTTTCCGGCTTTCTTAGCAAGCTGAAACCAGTAAAAACACTTTATTTTTCCCCTGCTAGTTGTCATACCATAGCCTTCTGGTAGGTCTGGAGGAGTATGTAAATGTGTCCTGCTCATGTAATTTCTATGTCGCTGTGACCTGACTCTCCTCTCTGCCAGTCTGGGATCTGAAGATTGTCCACACGTTGCACCATTTGTTCCACTAATTGGAGTGTTCTCATCAACAAAGCAGCTAAGAGGTCTGCCAGGACTTGAATATTCAGATGCCGGTCTATTGAAAAGTAACAAGGAAAAAAAGTTACTCAATTCAGATACCTAAAGTAGAGCTCTCTAAACAATATATGTGCCGCAGTAACAATCACTTATAGGAAAATTAAATGACTAATACAAATATAATGATTTCAAAAACTCTGAATAAAAGCCTGAAGCCTCGCCCTGGCCGGTTTGGCTCAGCGGTTGGAGCGTCCACCTGCGGTCCGGAGAGACCCGGGTTCAGTTCCCGCTAAGGGCACGTGCCTCGGTTGCAGTTTGTCCCCGGCCTTGGTTGGTCGTGCGGGTGGCAGCCACTCGATGTGTCCCTTTCACATCGATGTTTCCCTCTCTCTCTCTTCCTCTCTCTCCTTCCCACTCTATCTGTACAAAAAATGGGAAAATGTCCTCGGGTGAGGATAAAAAAAATTTTAAAAGCCTGAAGTCTCTAAATACCAATGAAACTCAAGTGATCAGCAGAATGTCAATTATGTCTTTAAATCATTTAATATTAATTTAAATTACATTTTATATGAAATCCACATATATTTGTAGACGTGAGTACCAGCTCACAAAACACTACTTGATTTAGCTTCAGCCTACCTCTCAGACCTGGTTTCCCATCATTCTGCTACAATGACATGCTCCTTATTCCTTGAATTTGCACAGGTCTACCTTTAGTTCTGAACAGCAGCTCTTCCTTCCACCTAAAATGCTTTGTTCTATTTTTCCTAGGCCAGGCTTTTTCTTTCTTTCTGTCATTCAAATACAGCTTTAGCTTAAATGTGGTCTCAAAGAGGTCCCCTGACATTTAAATCTAAAGTAATCATGCAAGCATTTGATAGTACATCACCCTACTTCCTCAGCATAGCAATTATTTCTTATATTTTTCTTACTTGCATCCTTGTCTTTGTCTGTCTTCCAGCACTAGAATACTTATTAAGAGACCAGAATGCTTAGTTTATTCCCCACTACACATATCCCCCACACCCAGAATAGTGCTTGGCATATATATAAGAGCAGCTCAATAATGATTTATTGAATGAATAAAGGAAAGAAGATAGTTTGTCTCTTAAAAGAACTTTCAGTCTATTGTAGGACATCCAAACTAAAAGGATAATCAAGAGTCAATTTTTAAGCTAACGTTTACAACACAATCAACTTTATACATGTGGAAATTAAGGTCAATTTTATCAGTTAAATGAATAAGAAGAAAAAGGATTTCAATAAAACATTGAAACAACTACACATTCATTTACACTTAGATATAATAAAAATGGGCTATCTGGCCCTGGCCGGTTTGGCTCAGCGGTTAGAGCGTTGGCCTGCGGTCCGGAGAGACCCGGGTTCGGTTCCCGCTAAGGGCATGTACCTCGGTTGCAGTTTGTCCCCGGCCCTGGTTGGTCGTGCGGGTGGCAGCCACTCGATGTGTCCCTTTACATCGATGTTTCTCTCTCTCTCTCCCTCCTGCTCTATCTGAACAAAGAATGAAAAAGTGTCCTCGGGTGAGGATAAAAAAAAAAAAAAAAAAAAATGGGCTATCTGACCTCAATAAAAATCTTAGCAATTTAATACTAGAAATGCAACTCTCAAGCATTTTTAAAAATGGCAACGTGAGCTAAGCTTTTATCCAAGAATCACAATAGAGAAAACTTTGTGATTCAATGAGTTATGCAATTAATCCCTAGTAAATAAAAGAACATATAGCTAAGGAGAAGCATTTGATGTTCTCTGTCTGATGCCAGCTAGTCCTACTCAGGAAATAAAAAAGGGGTGGGGGCAAAACAAACAATGAGTACAAGTAGCAAATAAACTTTGTTCTTATTTTTTAAGAAATGAAAAAATATTCAGTCACTTATCCTATTCATTTTCTTATCCCATTCTATTCAGTTACTTATAAAGCACTTCCTTGGAGTTGCCAAAAAATATCTTGCATCCCTGTCTTTACATATTAAGCTCCATGAAGGTCGTTCTACCTCACTCAATGTTACAGTCCAAATGCTGAGCACAATGCCTTGCATGTAACCATTTAGTGCACTGAATGATAGCTGTGAGCACTACTACCATAAACACTTTTCATCAACTCTCCCTTATACGTGGCTAAATCCTAACATTTTCTGGTTTTATTCAGAGATTCCACTTCAGAGTTCTCCTCTGCAAGTTCCACCACCCCTTTGCCCCCCACTCTAAGTCAGATGCCCCTCCATATGGTCTCAGAGCATCTGGTTCTTATCCTGATTACAGACCTTACCGGACACAATAAAATGTAATCATCCCCCTACATGATTTAACAAATGTAGATTCTGTATACATACTGTTACAGCCATTCAATAATGGACTCAAAATACAAATTTTCAAAGTCCTAGAAATAAGTGACTTCTCAATTTATTCATTTAACTCATTTAACAAATATTTATTATCTTCGCAGACCCTATAGCTACAATTACAGGACAACATGCTAAACGATCTTTATTGATAATTACTTTTAAAAATAATAATGGCACTTGCTATAAGATCTACTGATCTAGAGCAATATAAACCAAGACAAGAAATCCAGTAAAGCTGAGAATTAAATGGAAAGGGATGACTTCAGGAGGGTGAATAGCATAGAACATGGGAAGATATTTTTATGTTCTTACCGTGTTGGGCGTTCCCATTGTGTAGTTCTTGTTATGTGGTTTAGATACTGGATTCTTCCAGAGGCAGTTCTCCTTTCTTCCCAGCTTAAATAAAAATATTGAGAGAGAAGGTATTACTAGAAGCTGGATACAAAATGTTTAGTGTAATAACCAAGCCAGGAAGACATTTTTGCAAGTATGAATCAAGAATGACAAACTGAAAGATCAATCTACAAAATATAGAAATTTTTTCAACTTATTTAAAAAATGTACAATATATCTTTTGGAATTCTGAAGCTTTTAAAATATTTACACTGAAATGTGATTAATATTTTCCATCAGCCAAACTCAGGATTTTTCAATAATGTCAACAATGATCAATTAAATTACACTAATTTCTCCAGAATTAAGGGGGGGCACTAAGACTAAATATCACACAATTTTTAAAAAATTAAACTAGGAAAATATATAAAAGCTTTTTAAAGAATTTACCCTACTCAAACTAATTTTTTAAAAAGCAAGAATGCCACTTTTTCCTCTATGTCTTATTAATTCACATAACAAAAAAATGATCTTATGACTGTAGACATGTGGTAGTGTTAATATTTCCATTGAAACATTGGCAGACATTTGGAGGCCTTAAAAAAACAGAAAATAAAGAGATGCTAAGAGAATCTTTTCCCCTGTGATTACAATTATATAGTACAATAATGTAAAGCAAGTTTAGAAATAATTAAGCCTTACACTGTTTCATCTTACTATTGATCACTTATTTCATCTCAAATATTGATTAGTTATATCACCTTAAACTTCCCCTTCGAAAGTACTATAATCTACCTCACATCCATAAAAGTTAACAGATATATCAAAAAACTAAAGAAATCTATAAACTGGACAAACTTAAATTACAGCAATTTTTACCAGTTTAAATTAAATGAATACAGTCGGCCCTCATTTATCGCAGTCATCAGTTCCAGACTCTACCGCGATAAATGAATTTCCGCAAAAGTAGGAGTCTTTATTTATATAGTCATCCTTCACCACTTCGCACTTCGACAAACTGCGACAGAGTGAAGCCGCAAAAGTTGAAGTGCAAAGTGGTGAGGGACCACTGTAAATACCATAGCTTGGATGTAAAATTTCATGTAAAAAATAACAAGTCCAAACTCAACCAATCATATATATTTTGCAGGGGTTAGGAACCTGTTTTCTGGCAAGGGCCATTTGGATATTTATAACATCATTCTTGGGCCATACAAAATTATCAACTTAAAAATTAGCCTGCTATATTTGGTCAGGCTAATTTGGTGAGATGTGTGATGTTCGCTGGTACTGATTTCCAGGGCCTTATATGACCTGAGGGCTGGATGTTCCCCACCCCTGCTAGATGGATATAATCTATAGTATGTAAACTACACCTCATTGAAGTTAATAAAAAATACTTTGAAAGTTAAAAATAAAATCAGAAAAGTGTCAGAACTAGTATTAAAGATAGAGAGCAGTGATAAAAAAGCATGAACTTTGTAATTCAAGTTTAAATTTATGTTCCAGTCATTTACCATGTAGCCTTTGGCAAATACTTAACTTTTTGAGTTTCAGTTTTTGTTTGTTTGTTTGTTTGTTTTTTATCCTCACCCGAGGACATTTTTCCATTTTTTGTATAGACAGAGTGGGAGGGAGAAAGAGGAAGAGAGAGAGTGAGAAACATCGATGTGAAAGGGACACATCGAGTGGCTGCCACCCGCACGACCAACCAGGGCCGGGGACAAACTGCAACCAAGGTACATGCCCTTAGCGGGAACTGAACCCGGGTCTCTCCGGACCGCAGGTGGGCGCTCTAACCGCTGAGCCAAACCGGCCAGGGCGAGTTTCAGTTTTTTTAAATCTGTGAAATGAATGAGGGTAACAATGGTAGTAGCAGTAGCAATACCAGTAGCTAATTGTTTATTAAGCACTTACTATATGCAAGTCATTGTGCTAAGTGCTTTACACAAATGATTTTATTTAATCCTCACAACAATTTAGGGCATATGTACTATTATCATCATCCTCTTTTATAAATAAATATAAACCAAAGCGTACAGAATTAAAGTGATTATACTCATAAAGCTAGTAAGCAGAAGAGTAAGGATTAGATACTGATGGTCTAATTCCAGAACCATAAGCTATGAGAATGAAATGTATTATATAAATACTTAAAACAGTTTCTGAAACATGCATGCTCAATAAATGTTACTATGTTATTATAATTACTATTACACAGATTCTCTCTCCTATCCCTCTAATAGAGCAATGTCTCAGACTCAGTACTTACATGACCAGTTTTAGTAAATTAATCAAACAAAAAATTATTTCTTTTGAATATGTAGTATTTACAGGAGAGTTCTATTTGTCAAGAAATCTGATTTGTCTTTAGTCAAAACTCTTAAAAACCAAATTCAACATCTAATTCATAGCTTATTTTATAAATTTATGACAAGATCCCTTACTAATTTTCCAAGTACAAGGAAAACCTAGATTCTGGAATCAGCAAATTTTTTAAGTATACAATCAACACCAACTTATTTCTCATTATTTTAAGGATGTTATCTATATATTTCTCTCATGAGTTCAGCTTACCCGTCTGGTAAATCATTATCAAACAAACGACTGCAGTCCACAACTTGTCCTCCTGTGCCTATCTGATCTCTGGACTGAAGACTTACTATTAAACAACAAAAAACATTTCTAAGAGCCATAGAACAAGAAAGAATGGTTACAATTTAAAATATATATCTTTAAAAGACTTAATGCTTTAAAATGAACTCTTTAGTTTCTATTAAATTCTGCAATTTTTAAAAAAAAAATTTCTTTATTGATTTTAGAGAGAAGAAGGAAGTGGAAGAGATAGAAACATCAATAAGAGAGGACATCGAATGGCAACCCCACTGGGGATCGGGCCCACAACCTGGGCATGTGCCCTGACCGGGAATCAAACCAGTGACCTGAGTGCATGGGTCCACGCTCAACCACTGAGCCATACTGGCCTGGCTCTGTAATTTCTTTTTTTTTTTTTTATCCTCACCCGAGGGCATTTTTCCATTTTTTGTTCTGACAGAGCAGGAGGGAGAGAGAGAGAAAAACATCGACGTGAAAGGGACACATCGAGTGGCTGCCACCCGCACAACCCAAATAGGGCTGGGGACAAACTGCAACCAAGGTACATGCCCCTAGTAGGAACCGAACCCGGGTCTCTCTGGACGGCAAGCCAACGCTCTAACTGCTGAGCCAAACTGGCCAGGGAGTGCAATTTCTTTTTTAATGAGATTTTTTTCCTTTACGAGTGATACTAGAATTTTAAGGTTTCCTACACTTTATCATGTTCATAGGGAAGTCTAATTCCTTTTTTTCCATCATAATGGGCAATGCAAGGCAACCACTGCTCTTAAGAGGAGACATAACAGCCCTGGCCAGTTTTGCTCAGTGGTTAGAGTGTCAGCCCATGATCCAGAGAGACCCGGGTTCAGTTCCTACTAAGGGCATGTACCTTGGTTGCAGTTTGACCTCAGCCCCGGTTGGGTGGCAGCCAGTCGATGTGTCTCTCTCACATCGATATTTCTCTCTTTCTCTATTCCTCCCTCTCGCTCTATCTGAAGATGAATGCAAAAATGTCCTCAGGTGAGGATAAAAATAAATAAATAAATAAATAAATAAATAAATAAATAAATAAATATTTTAAAAATGAAATAAAAACAAACTAGATTCTGGCAACAGGGTAACACTTGAATTACTTGAGTTTAAACCATACATCATCATCCAGGGTAGTATAAAAACTTGGGAGCAAGAGATGCAAACTCTAAATCAGGCTATATCAACCAGTTTAGCACTGCAATCATGAACAAAACACTTAAACTTTCCTGAGGCTGAGATAATCCCAATCCAAATAATGAGGAAGCCTGGCTCAATAATATGCCTGAAGTCCTTGTTGCTTTTTTATTTTTGTTTGTTTGTTTTCATTAATCCTCACCCCAGGATATTTTTCCATTAATTTTTAGATGAGTGGAAGGGAGAAAGGGAAAGAGAGAGAAAAACATCAACATGAGATTGGATGCCTCCCACAAGACCCTGACAGGTACTGGGGATTGAACCTGCAACCCAGGTACATGCTCTTGACCAGGAATCAAACCTGCGACCCTCTAGTCCAAGGGCCGACACTCTAACTGCTGAGCCAAACTGGCCGGGGCTTCTCTATTATTCTTTAATTCTGTTTTTGGCAACTCTCTCAAAAGACAGAATGGGTACAGAAAAACCTGACTACAGCCCAACTTCTTAAAGAACATTACATAAAGTATGACATCTTAAGACCCTTCATTCTAGGAAGAGTCTCAAAATTCTGAAATTTTCCACCTCTGTAAAAATTTTGAAAACCCAGAAAGTTCAACGCATTGTTCCATTTATAGGACACAACACTATAACACACCTTCTCAGTGAATATAAATAAAAGGTTAATGTTAAAACTGTACTAGAAAACTGTATTAATTAGTCTTTACCAGAAAGACAGTGAAATGCTTACCCCAATACAATCACAGAAGAAAAAAGGTCATTTCTCACTAGCTTTGTTTAGAATAATATGAAGGATCAAAGCTAAAAGATTTCATGAGCTTCAATGTACATCTCCAGAGTGCTGTCTTACAAAAGACTGCTTCAAATTTTAGATAAGACTCTATTTTTAAATAGCCTAATTCTAGCAATATATAAAATAAATCATAGAAAAACTGTTTATCAGAGCACTGCTCATAATATTAAAATACCAGAAACAACCTAAATGTCCAACATTAAGGGACTGGTTAAATTAATTATTTGCCCACCACAGACTACCAAACAAGATTTAAAATGCTACAGAAACATATTCGTGGACAAAAAAAAAAAGTTCAACAGTTTAAAATAGGTTAGTTAAAATCTGCATAGCATGCTCTCATTTTGAAAAAACAGAGTGTCCTGGCCGGTCTTGCTCAGTGGTTAGAGCGTCGGCCCACAGACCAGAGTCCCGGGTTCGGTCCTCACTAGGGGCAGGTACCTCAGTTGCAGTTTGTCCCTGGCCCCGGTTGAGGTTGTGCAAGTGGCAGCCACTTGATGTCTCTCTCTCTCACATCAATGTTTCTCCCCACCCCACCCCCCTCTATCTGAAGATAAATGCAGAAAAAAAATGTCCTCAGGTGAGGATAAAAAAAATAATAATAAAAAACAGAGAATCCAGTCCAGCCTACCTCTATTATGAACACCACATTTACACAATAGCTTTAAATTAAAAAAAAAACAAAACACAGACACACATTTTAAAGTAAAACTTTTTTTATATATATAAAATACTCCAATAGGTATGTGTGTAACCACTGACAAAGGAAAGTCTATTTTTATAAATGCAAATTTACACCTAGTAAAACTATTCTGTTACTACTAGACATTAGTTGGCAAACACTACATAACATACCAAATCAAATAAAGTAGGAACAATTACATTTAAAAGTCTTATATGCCAGGGTTTACTTTTTTTTTTCTTTATTGATTTTTAGAGAGAGAGGAAGGGAGAGGGAAAGAAAGAGAAAGAAACATCAATGTGAGAACATCAACTGGCTGCCTCCTGCATGTTCCACACTGGTAATTTGGCCCACAACCTGGGCATATGCCCTGACCGGAAATCGAACTGGTGACTTCTTGGTGAATGGGTCGACACTCAACCACCAAGCCACACCAGCCAGGCTACTTTTAAGTTTTTCACTCCCTTTTCAATCTAAAACTGACACGAATTATCAATAATGCTATAGTATAGATAGATACTTCCCTATGAAAACCACAATAGTGCTTTTGTTATGTTGCTCCTCTGGCAATTCTCTAACTATGAACCCAAGTCACTGTCTTATAAAATGATGTCCTTCAAGTACCTTTGGCAACTAAAATCTCTTTGGTAGGTTCATAATGCAATTATCTTATTCTAAATTCTTCTCTATAATGAAATGGTATGATTCCAACTGCTTTTTTCTTCTTTAGGAAGCTTTCAAGGAAACCACCTCAGTTTCCTACCACGTCATGTATCTTGATCAAATCTTAATCCATTAAGTCTTAAAATTTAAGACTTAATCTTAAATTTTTTAAGTCTCAGAAAATTTTATATAAGGCCCTTCTTCTGGGTCAGTTCGAGAGAGCACACTAGCCCACTAAGTGCCTTGAGTAACAATTTCTGTTTTTTTAGTAAGTGCTCATTCTTTTTTTTTTATCATTCCTCATTGTGTTTTTTTCCAATTAGCACAGCTTATTTTATTTTACTTTTTTCATTTTAATCCTTACCCGAGGACATTTTTGCATTTATCTTCAGATAGAGTGGGAAGGAGGGGGGGGGGGGGGGGAGAGAGAGAAACATCAATGTGAGAGAGACACTTCGACTGGTTGCCACCCACACAACCCCAACCAAGGCGGGGACAAACTGCAACCAAGGTACACGCACTTAGTGGGAACCGAACCCGGACTCTCTGGTCCACAGGACGATGCTCTAACCGCTGAGCCAAACCGGCCAGAGCAGCACAGATTATTTTTAAATTGTAAAACAGTAAACAAAGAGTTCAATATTTACTTAAAAATCAGTCTGAGAATTATTGTCAGAAAACTTTAATACCATCTATAAACTATCAGTGCTCTACTTTATTTGTATAATTGAAAAGAATCCCTTCCTAAAGAACCAATAGTTCTTCAAAACATTAGAAGCCTTTTAAACATTATTTCTAGTTTGTTGGGGTTTTTTTTAATTAAGTTAGCCTGGATCCTATATTCACTGTTTGAAACATTTTACATGACTCATTTAATTCATGCCAATATACTGTAACAACAGGTGTACTTTGATTTAAAAAGTATTTAGATTTAGGTCAGCTTGAATGAAGCCAAAATTCATGTAACTTTTAAGTTCCACACTTACCTACTATCTGTCCTCTAACTGTATCATTGTCATTTGGCCCAAGTTTGCAGAGATCCAACCTCTGATCTATTTCAAACAACAAAAAAAGCAGTTAAAAAAGAAGCTGGTATCAGAGATTCTAACATCTATAGAGTGATACTAAATTTCCACAATGTGCTGGAAATCAGGACTAGCATTTAAAGAATTAGTCATGTTTTAAATATATAGTTTTATTTATTTTTTTAGAGAGAAAGGAAGGTAGAGAGAGATCAGCTGCCTCCTGCATGCCCCGCACTGGGAATCGAGCCCAAAACCCAGGTATGTGCCCTGACTGGGAATTGAACCCAGACCTCTCAGTCCATGGAACGATGCTCAATCCACTGAGTCACACCGGCTGGGCTATATGCAAATTTTAAAAGTACTAGTATCTACTCACAACCAGTGTCTTTGAGGCGGTTGATGGCATTGGAAAGAAGACGAACACAACCAAGAAATCCAGCACCTTGTTTTTTATGGATCTTCTTGTGATTCCAGACACTGATAGTAACTGAATCAGACTTTCCAATATACCTAAAAGCACAAAATGACTGCGTGAGTAATGGCAATTACAAGTAGTTAGTATAAAAATTTTCTTTTGCTTTTGTAATCTAGAGTCACAAATGTTTCCCAGTATGGCTACTTAATGTAAAGCATGTTCTGTGTTCAATCAATCCACAGGACTGAAGTTAAATTTTGTTAAAAATCTTAAGAGTAAAATCTAAAATGAATTTTTAAATTGATTTTTAGACAGAGAAATGAGAGTCAGGGGAAAGAAACATTCATCTGTTGCCTTCCATACATGCCCCAACCAGGGAGCCCACAACCTGGATATGTGCCTGGACCAGGAATCACACCCACCACCTCTTGGTGTATGGGACAATGCTTCAACCAACTGAGGCCAGGGCTAAAAAGAATTTTTTTAATATCCTTTATCACATCTGCCACTCTCAAGCTGAGTAACAATTTTTGTTAGTGAAAAAAACTATTTACTAATTAATAGCTGGTGTTAAATAACACTATGGGAGTATATGGTTATTTCTTTCCAAGAACAAAAATCTTACAAGGACTTTCCTCACAGACACATTTTAAAGACATTTCAATGATATGACCTACTACCTCAGAGAGTACTCGGTTCATTTTAAAGGGGCAGTGTCAAGGCTGACAGACCAAAAATCTGACATACCTGTTATGTTTTAAAATGCTGTAGAACAAAAAGCTGACTGTAACGCTTTTCCCCTGCTTCTTTCCTGTATGCAGGCCTTGAGCGAGCAGGACTCTTGCAGATTTCACTTCACTGCCTGCAGACAAGCAGAGCAGGGAAAAGCGTTACTACACTTGTCTGTGCATATACCTGCAAGTATGTAAAAGCTCTACCACAGCCAATTGTTCACATGGTGTCATCCCATGCAAAAATATAATAAAATAACATAATTCTATCAGAAGAATCCTAACTATATTTCAATGACTCTAAGAGGTCAAATTTTTGGTCCAGCAACCTTGACCTTAATGTGTCATTCAATAAAGCAGCAAATTCAGAAAAATTCACCTAGTATATTAAAAAGGCTAAACCATCAAGTGAGGACTAAAACTTTTACAATGAGGAACGTGGAAGCCACACTTGTGCCCCTGAATCCAGCTGTATTTAAAGCATGCCCTGCCCCCAACTTCTTATTATGCAAACCACTACATCCCCCTTTTTGAAATTATGCCAATTTGAATTTCATGTCTGTTGCTTGCAAATAAAAAAATCTGAACTAAGCCCTGGCTGGTATGGCTCAGGTGTTAGAGCGTTATCCTGAGCACTGAAGCATCTCAGGTTCAATTCCCCATCAAGGGCACGTATGTGGGTTGCAGGTTTGATCCCCAGCCCTGGTAGGGACTTGTGCAGGAGGCAACCAATCGACATTTCTCTCTCTCTCTCTCTCTCTTTTTTTTTATCCTCACCCGAGGACATTTTTCCATTTTTTGTTCAGATAGAGTGGGAGGAAGAGAGAGGGAGAGAGAGAGAGAAACATCGATGTGAAAGGTACACATTAAGTGGCTGCCACCCGCACAACCAACCCAACCAGGGCTGGGGACAAACTGCAACCAAGGTACATGCCCTTAGCAGGAACCGAACCCAGGTCTCTCTGGACCACAGGCCGATGCTCTAACTGCTGAGCCAAACCTGCCAGGGCCGACGTCTCTCTCTCTCTCACATCGATGTTTCTCTCCTTCTCTCTCCCTACCCCCTTCCTCTAAAACTTAATGGAAAAAATATCCTCAGGTGAGGATTAACAACAACAATCTGAACTAAAATATCATTCAGTCTGAATGTACCCATTTTCAAATAGACCTAACATGGTAAGTATCTATCACATGACATGTCGAAATCCTAGAACCAAAATCATGCATTAAATAGCTATATACCCCAAACCAAACATTTTTTAAAAATCACATTAAATCAATCTCCCAACTGGGAAGCCTGATTTACAGGTAAGCTAAAATATTGATTCCCTCAGGTCTTAGAGCAGCCCACCACGGCTTAGGTATCCTGTTGGGAGGCTGCCACCCATACGACCCAACCAGGGCCGGGGACAAACTGCGACCCAGTGGGAACTGAACCCAGGTCTCTCTGGACCGCAGGCCGATGCTCTAACCACTGAGCAAAGGCCCATAGAGACCTTGAGACTATATATTACAAACAAGGAAGCTTCTGTCAGCCTGTATCCCTAAATGACTGTTTGACAGTGTCTCATCGCCCTGCCAAATGGACTTTATATATGAAATACATTTCTACTGTACTATACCAACGAAAAATTTGGTGTTGTCTATTAACAACAGTTAGCCTGCTCTAACCAATATAGGCAACAAATCATAAAGGGCCTTGCCAGCCATGGTATGAACTCTGGCTCTTACTCCAAGAAAGAAAGGAAGCCAATGGAGCAGAGGAATAATAAGATTTGAAATATGTGTAAAGAGGATCACTCTAGCTGCTGTGTTGAGAAAGACTGTAGCAGCAAGGCTAGAAAAGCAGGAAGCCTAAGGCAGGGGTCAGCAAACCACAGCCTGTGAGCCAAAGCCAGCAGAGCCACAGAGTATATTTCATTTTTCCCCCAAGGATCAAACAATTTTAGGTTTTAAGGTCATATTAAAAAATACTTAGAACATCTACATCTCTCTATTCGCATTACCATTTTTATTTAACATAAAGTCATCATTTTCTATTTGCTAGATTCCTCCACTGTATTAGACAGTCTCCTTGCCATTCGTACCTCCCTCTAAGCTCTTCTTCACATTATAGCCAAAGTGTTCATTCATGAATATATCTAATTATAGCATTTCCCTGTCAAAAACCCATTCACTGTTCCTACTGCTTTTAGGAAAGCTTTCAAGGACCTTCATGAGCTGGCTTCTGCTTGCCTCTCTTTGCTTGTATTTTACCTCACTCCCGTTAGCTTATGTGAACTCACCAATGCTGCCTCTCTAAACTATTTTCAGAGTCATGTCCTTTTTTCACATCTGGGTCTTCACACAGAATGCTTTTGTTTAGGGCCTTCCCACCTTTTCCTTTTTCAAGTTAACTCCTACTTAATTAAGGTCTAATTCTAAAATGCCACTTTTTTCTTTTTTTTTAATCCTCACCCGCGGACATTTTTCCATTTTTTGTTCAGATAGAGTGGGAGGGAGAGAGAAACATCAACATGAAAGGGACACATCGAGTGGCTGCCACCCGCACGACCCAACCAGGGCCAGGGACAAACTGCAACCAAGATACATGCCCTTAGCAGGAACCGAACGTGGGTCTCTCCGGACCTCAGGCCAACACTCTAACCGCTGAGCCAAATCGGCCAGGGCTAAAATGCCACTTTTTTAGGAAGCTCTCCCCAACTCCTAAATCCATGTGAAGAAGTTCCATATATTTCCATAGCATCCTATTTTTCCCTTTATTGTTATCACAGTTTATTATTTCCTATTTACTTGTCTTTATACACCACGTGGCTGTAAGCTTGGAGGACTATGTCTTGTTGACTGTGGTAGCTGGGTCTCTGGCTGAATTTAAATCTGACTGAAGCTGCCCGGCCGGTGTGGCTCAGTGGTTGAGCATCAACCCACACACCAGGAGGTAGCCGGTTTGATTCCCAGTCGGGGCACATGCCCAAATTATGGGCCAAACCCTCAGTGGGGGGCATGCAGGAGGCAACTAATCAATGTTCTCTCTCATCGATGTTTCTATCTCTCTCTCCCTCTCCCTTCCTCTCTAAAAATAAAATAAAGAGCCCTGGCCGGTTTGGCTCAGCGGTTAGAATGTTGGCCTGCGGTCTGGAGAGATCTGGGTTTGGTTCCCGCTAAGGGCACATACCTCGGTTGCAGTTTGTTCCCAGCCTTGGTTGGGTCATGCGGGTGGCAACCACTCAATGTGTCCCTTTCACGTCGATGTTTCGCTCTCTCTCCCCCTCCCTCCCATTCTATCTGAACAAAAAATGGAAAAATGTCCTCAGGTGAGAATAACAAAATTAATTAATTAATTAATTAAAATAAAGAAAAAAATTTTAATTGAAAAAACAAACCAAAAAACCCATCTAACATTTAAGAATTACATGGCAGGTACTAGTCTCAACACTTTACATGTTTTATCTCACTTAATCTTCATGTTGGTCCTTTAAAGGCATTACTGTCATTATTATTATTAATAGAAACTGATGCAAAAGGAGTTAGATAATCACACAGTAAAAGTGGTAGAGGTAGGAAGCTAAGTAGTCTCACTTCTCTCTATTGCTGACCTTTTAGTTCCTATTTATTTGCTTGTTACATTAACTTGGAGTTACTGAGACATAGCACTAAGAGGCAGACACAAAGCATGATTCTTAGTTGTCTCTAGGTATACCTCGACGTTGCAGTGGAGACATGACATCTGTTTGCATGTGGTTTAGAAGGTAAAATTTAAATAACTGACTCGAGTCCAGGCTGAGCTGGGTACTCTAGGGTAGTTTTAGAGCTAATGATCTAAAAGTAAGTAGGTGAGATGTGAGGTATAGAAGTTTTTATGGAAGATCTTACTAAGATTAGTTTTTGTAAGTAAATTCAAATGGAAAATTTTGAAGAAAAGTTGAGGTAAATGAGTGAAACAGAATGACCGTGAAGCTTAAAAGGCCAAAGACTTGGAAAGTCAAGCTATCAGGACAATTAACATGTGATAACCAAATTAGCAACCTGGAGAAAACTGAAACCTAAGCCTGCAGGAAGGAACAGACAAAAAACAATTTGCTGCCACCAAATCCTTGAAATACTGTCAAACTGTAAACCCAAGATACTCTGATGATTATGGTGGGGTGAAACAAAAGGTTTGGTGAAAGTGTTTAAAAGGAATGGAAAGACTTCCCAAATCCCTTCCCTCAACCAGTTCATCCTCAACCTGGGCAGACCATAGGTTTATTCTCTGAAAAGTTCTCTACTCAGGGTTACTATGCACAGCTGAATGAAACAGTAAAATTCCAAGATAAAAACATGGGTATTTAGTGACTGGAGAGTCCTCCTTGCAGTCTTAACAATGTTCAGCTTTAAGAACACTGAGATCCAAGATTATAGCCCCAGGCAGAAGATGGGAGAATAGTGTGCAATAAAAAGGTCATAGTTACACCTGCTTACCCTTAGGGAGTTGACCAGCTCTACTCACGGGCAGAGTTTCCAATCAACAGTAAGTGCCTCCCCTTAAATATAAAAATACAGAAACCCAAACCAAACAGGAAAAAAAGGAAGTCTGAGAAAAAAGCATCAATATAAGTAACAGAAGATAACTAAAATACTCACTTTTCTCGTGTGAGAAGATATTGCATCCAAGAAATAAAGAGGAAGTTATGAAAAAGGAATAGTCAGAAAGCAAAATGATCTTGGAAATTAAAAACGTGAGAGCAGAAATTTCAATAAATAGGAATGCTGGAAACAAAGTTGGAGAAACAGCCCAGGTATTTCATCATTTTTTTGCTAAAGGAAACATTTTTTATTAAAACTTTTAAAAACTAAGATAAAATATGGAAGACAAAAAATAGGACAAATAATGATCAATTTAGGAGGGATATATCCAAATAACAAGAGTTCCAGAAAAGGAAAATAAGAGAAAGAAAAAAGTAAAGGAGAAGAAATCATCTATTAACAATAGAAAAATTTCCCATAACTGAAGAGTTTATCCAGATTAAAAGGTCCCATTATCTAGCACTAAGTATCAGACATACCAAACCCATCATCAAAAAATTTAACATCAGGCATAAAAGAAAATACCCTGAAATCTTCTGGTGGAAAACAATAATCGTGAAGGACCAAAATCCAGATGGTATCAGCAATATTCTAAAACTACACTGTCCAAAACGGTAGCCACCACCCACATAGGGCTATGGAGTACTTACAATGTGGCTAGTCCAAATTGAGGCACTCTGTAAGCAACATAATTCAGTAATGATTTGTTGAAATAAACATATTTCAGATATATTAAATTAAATATATTATTAAGCTTAATTTCATCTGTTTCTTTTCACTCTTTTCAACATGGCTAGTAGAAAATTTAAAATTACAGATGAGTTGCCATTTGTGACTCACATTATATTTCTATTCAACACTATTGATCTAAACCTAGAAGACAATGGAGCAATGTATTCAAAATTTGGAGGAAAGGTGATGTCTCACTGGAAGGTCTATATTCAAACTATCAATCAAATAAAAAGACAAAATATTTTTTCAGACAAGATCTCAAAGTAATTTTCCACATCTTTGCACTCTTTCTCAAGATAACAATTGAAGCTAGACTTCACCAAACAGGGAAGTAAACAAACAAACAAACAAAAACACACAGAAAATCATTGGAACTAGAAGGGACAAAGAAAACTCCCAACATAATGATAAAGGCAAGTTCCAGGACAACTGTGCAGACGGCCTTAGAGAACTACCAGACTAGACCAAAAGGACAGAGGTTCCAGGAGAGATATCTCCAAGAAGAAAACAAAGCCAATGGAATATTTCATGTTGTTGAACATAACAAAGGAGCTGTTCAGTCCTATAGAGCTTGTGAATGAATTAATGACATAGATGGAAAACTAAATAAATGGAGAGATAGTTATTAACTTCCGAAAAGTAAAAGTTGTCAAGAGAGAAAATGTAATCATTGCATACCATGTGACTTGATTATGAATATTTACATCATCATAATAGTGTAAATATGAAACAGTGATTTAACCAAAAATGTTCAAAAGATTATCTAGTAGGGCTGGGAGAAAGAAAGGGGCACATGGGTGTTCTGGGAGTGAGGATGAGAGATATCAACTGTAAAAGCTAAGTCATTTTTGCCCTGGCCGGTTTGGCTCAGCGGTTAGAGCGTCGGCCTGCGGTCCTGAGAGACCCGGGTTCGGTTCCTGCTAAGGGCGCGTACCTCGGTTGCAGTTTGTCCCCGGTCGGTTGTGTGGGTGGGAGCCACTCGATGTGTTCCTTTCACATTGATGTTTCTCTCTCTCTCTCTTTCTGTTCCTCTCTCTCCCTCCCACTCTACCTGAACAAAAAATGGAAAAATGTCCTCGGGTGAGGATTTAAAAAAAAAAAAAAAAAAGCTAAGTCATTTTCTACGGTGGAAATTTTAAAATAATACCTCAGACTAAATAATTATTTATTTATATTTATATATCAAGATGCTATAAAATAAGCATGATATCTAGAAATAGAAGAAAATACCAGAATAAATAGCCAAAGTTATTGAAAGAAGTTACCTTAAGAATGGAAACCAGGAATAAGAATGGAATGAAGAACTACATTTTCCCATTAAAAGCTTTCCAGTAGTATCAGTTGCCTTTTTTAAAAGGTATACTGCCCTGGCCAGTCTGGCTCAGCGGTTAGAGCATCAGCCTGAGGTCCAGAGAGACCCGGGTTCGGTTCCCACTAAGGGCATGTACCTCGGTTACAGTTTGTCCTCAGCCCTGTTTGGGTTGTGTGGGTGGCGGCCACTCAATGTGTCCCTTTCACGTCGATATTTCTCTCTCTCTCTCTCTCTCTCTCTCTCTCTCCCCCTCCCTCCCACTCTATCTGAACAAAAAATCCTCGAGTGAGGAAAACAAATAAATAAATAAATGGTACGTATACTATAACTAAAATAAAATTTAAAGGAAAGAAACACCATCCATACAGAAGCAAAAGGAATGCCTATGAGCGAGTGTACCCCAATTATGATTTCTGGTTTTATACTTATAATTGGCCTAAAATAAATTAATACCTTCATTTAATTGATAAAAGTAGGGGGAGGGCCCTGGCCGGTTTGGCTCATCGGTTGGAGCGTCGGCCCATGGACCAATGAGACCCGGGTTCAATTCCAGCCAAGGGCACGTACCTCAGTTGCAGTTGGTCCCCAGCCCTGGTCAGGGTAACGCAGGAGGCAACCAGTAGATGTGTCTCTCTCACATCGATGCCCACCCCCCACCCCCAATCTGTCTTAAAGATAAATTTTAAAAGATCCTCAGGTGAGGACAGAAAAAAAAAAGTGGGGGGAGGAAATTGCTCTATACTGTGTACACATTTTGTTCTTCATAGGGTCATTATGAAGGGTACCGCATCTATAAATTAGCTGAAGTACCTTCTCAGTAGGTTTTGTAACCCTCGGTGAAGACCAAATTATACCACAGATCAGACTCAGATCTTTTTCAGTGATTCTTTTCAAAGACTATCAAATAATACTGATTCTATGTCTCATTTCAGATTAATTGTTTAAACCTACAGGTCATAATGCTGATTCCACTTTGGATCGAGTGTATTCTTCACAGTATCTGTAGAATGGCACTGTCCAGATCCATCAACCACCACCTTAGCAAATGGGTCCGGAAGTCCTGTGAAAATAAAAAGGGGAAGATTTTTTTTAATTAAAAAATATTTGACATGGAAGACAAAAGAATAATTATGGAAAGATTATGACTTGCTACAAAGATTACTTCATTCTTTATAAAAGTTTAATGTTTAGCTATAAAAGTGGTCCATTTAAAAACTAAAATTAAATTTAATTTAATTAAATATCATAAACTACATTTTTTTCTTATTCCTATCTTAAAACATTCTCAGCTATAAACTACCAAGGTCTGGCTCAGTGGTTGGAGCATCGGTCCACAGACCAGAGAGGCCCAGGTTCGGTTCCCACTAGGGGCACGTGCCTCGGTTGCAGTTTGTCCCTGGCCATGGTTGGAGTTGTATGGGTGGCAGCCACTAGATGTGTCTCTCTCACGTTGGTGTTTCTCTCTCCCTCTCTCTCTCTTCCTCCCTCTCTCCCTCCGACTCTATCTCAAGATGGATGCAAAAATGTCCTCAGGTGAGGATAAAAAAAAAAAGAATTCCATACACACACACACACACACACACACACACCGTCCTGAGAATGTGTTTGTACTGATTTGTAATACTACGAATGCTTTATATTTATTTATTTATATATATATATACACACACACACACACATATATATATAAATAAAATAACCCAATAAACCAATGGAGTAAATAATGCTATTGTCTCTAATTTATTTACAAGGAAACTGAGGCACAAAGGGTAATTAACTAGTCCAAGGTAACAGCAGTAAGTGGCAGAGCCAGGGTCTAAAGTTTAGATTCTAAACCCAAGCACATATAGTCTGGTTCTTGATTTCATGCTTTTAACTACTATGCTGTATTTATACCCCTCTTTTACTATGCAATTCAACAGTTTGTACAAGAGCTCAGAAAAAGTACAGTTTGAGTTTGAACAGTCAAGAAAGCCTTTTGTCTTTTTCTCTTTTGAGGGGATGAGACTCGTTTAGGCTTTAAAGAATAGGTAGGAAACGCACTATGGAGAGAATAACAATATTCGAAGGGCTCAGATAAGTCTAACCAAAGGGTTTGTGCTAAGGTGTGAAAGTAAATGTGATTGGAGAGATAGACTGATGCAAGAGATGCTTAAAAATCAGAAAATCCAGGTTTGTAGTGACTGAAGTAGATAATGAAGCCATTTTAGGTTCTTGAGCATGGCTGTAAATACATTTTCAGTTTTCTATTAGTGGTATTCAAAATGGCCTGAGAGAAGAAAAGAATACAGGTACAGAAGCCATCTATGAAACTGCTGTAAGCTTCAAACAGTAGCATTAGTAGACCCTGAACTAGGGAAGTCACATGAAAAGAAAAAGGAAATGACAGTGAAGAAAACTACTCTCAAAGATCCAATATGAATTTATAAAAAACTAATGTCAAAAATGACACTCCAGCCCTGGCCAGTTTTGCTCAGCGGTTAGAGCGTCGGCCTGCGGTCCAGAGAGACCCGGGTTCGGTTCCCGCTAAGGGCATGTACTTCGGTTGCAGTTTGTTCCCGGCCCTGGTTGGTCGTGCGGGTGGCAGCCACTCGATGTGTCCCTTCATGTCGATGTTTCTCTCTCTCTCTCCCTTCCTCTCTCTCCCTCCCACTCTATCTGTACAAAAAATGGAAAAATATCCTCGGGTGAGGATAAAAAAATAAAAATAAAAAAAATACAAAAAATGACACTCCAGTTTTCAGCCCAAATGACAATGAAAATAGTAGCCCTTGTGCCAAAAAAAAGTTAGGAGAAGGTGGAACTAAATAAAACATTAAAAAGACAAAAATGACCATCTGGATATGAGACATATTGGGATAGTATAAATCTCCTATGGACAGCTGAAAATACTACAACAAAATGTTGGTAAGTGTTGATAACTGGAGTAACTTTGCACCTTGACATCTATGCTAATTTTTTTTAAGTCAAGATTCTAATATGCCAAGATTCAAGGCAAGACAGAAATCACCTAGCCAGTTCCCATGCTATGATTCTGTGATCTGCTACTTCAAAAAAATAAGAGAATATCAAAATCTAAAAACGTTAAGTATTTATTTATTTTTATTTTTATTTTTTTGGTACGTGCCCCTAGCCGCTAGGGCCTAGCAGGAACTGAACCCGGACTCTCTAGTCCGCAGGCCGACACTCCAACCGCTGAGCCAAACCGGCCAGGGCAAGAATGTTAAGTGTTTAAGAAGAAATTTGGTAAGTTAGAGTATCAATCTATTTAATGGTATTGTTCTTGAAGTTCACTGTTATCCATATAATTTCCATAATGCTTAACAATTTGCAAATGTGTTTAATGGAAGAATACTTTTCCCTCTATCTTCAATAGCATTAAGTATTTTCTCCATGGAGAAATTTTCTCTACCTTCTCATTCTACAATATAGCAAATAAACACATAAATGTATGACTATCAGCAAAAAAAAAAAAAAAAAAAAAATCACATTGCTAGCTTTCCCTTATTGATGTTGTTTAACTAGTTAAAGCAGTGGTTCTCAACCTTCCTAATGCTGTGACCCTTTAATACAGTTCATGTTGTGGTGACCCCCAACCATAAAATTATTTTTGTTGCTACTTCATAACTATAACTTTGCTACTGTTATGTCTTAGGCGACCCCTGTGAGAGGGTCGTTCAACCTCCAAAGGGGTCGGGACCCACAGGTTGAGAACAGCTGAGTTAAAGAATTAAAGACTAAGCCTGGTCAATGTTGCTCAGTGTTCCATGGACTAAGAGGTCCCAGTTCAAGTCCCAGTCAGAGCACATGCTTGGGTTGCAGGCTTGATCCCCAGTAGAGGGCATGCAGGAGGCAGCCAATCAATGTTTCTCTCTCACATCGATGTTTCTGTCTCTCCTTTTCTTTCTCTCTAAAAAAATCAATAAAAACACACTAAAAAAAAAAAAAAAAGGAATTAAAGACCAAGAAAAACAACTTTTTCCACACAAAAACATTAGGTGTGGCATATGCATAACCCACAGGCACAGGCAACAGAAAGCTGATGGCCTGAGGGAAGGGGTAGTGGAGACTGGGTGGAGGTGGACAAAGGAGGGGAGGGGAATGAGGACATCTGAAATAGTGTCAACAGTAAAAATAAAAAGTATGAATGTTTGAGTGCCATCTTCCTATGTCTCTCCTCTGTTATATAACACAAAATACAAGCTCTATACCCCAACCAAAACAAAAACAAGCAAACAAACAAAAAAACTAAGTTTCAACTCATCTGATTATACTATTCTACAAAAATTTAACTTGAGTCAAGTTACTCTAATGTGGTCAAAAGCTATCAAGTTTTCTGAAGTTAGTGAGACCTCTAGTGGTAAAGCTAAAGTGGCTAAAGTATTTTCTATATTTTTAAAAACTTCTCAATTCTCATTACTACTGAATCATATAAAATCACTAAAGCTCAAGAACTTTATCACTACAAAAATGCACTTAATGAGCTGAAAATAATAACGAAATAAAAAATTCAACTTAGCCCTGGTCACTTTGGCTCAGTGGTTAGGGCATCGGCCCGCAGATCAGAGAGACTGGGTTCAGTTACCGCTATGTCCCTGGCCCGGGTTGGGATTGTGTGGGAGGCGACCACTTGATGTTTCTCTCTCTTCCTCCCTCTCTCCCTCCCATTCTATTTGAAGATAAATGCCACAAAAAAAATTTCAACTTAAAAGTGAGTTACTAGGGAAAAGAAAGCTTTGTTTTTGATTGGGGGAAAGAAAAAAAAAAACATTCAGCTAACCAATCTTGGTTCTGAGTCACTTCAATATGTCTCCTAAACAACATCTTAACAAAGTATGTTACACACAAATCTTTTATGTAAATGTTGCAGAAAAGAAAGAAAATAATTTGATACTAATGACATTCTATTTATTTATTTATTTATTTATTTATTTATTTATTTATTTATTTATTTTTATCCTCATCCGAGGACATTTTTCCATTTTTTGTACAGACAGAGTGGGAGGGAGAGAGAGGAAGAGAGAGAGAGAGGGAAACATCGATGTGAAAGGGACACATCGAGTGGCTGCCACCCGCACGACCAACCAGGGCCGGGGGACAAACTGCAACCGAGGTACGTGCCCTTAGCGGGAACCGAACCCGGGTCTCTCGGGACCACAGGCGGACGCTCTAACCGCTGAGCCAAACCGGCCAGGGCTATTTATTTATTTTTTATTCCTCACCCAAGGATACTTTTCTATTTATCATCAAATAGAGTGGGAGGGAGAGAGAGAGAGACAGAGAGAAACATAGATGTGACAGAGCCATTGACTGTTTGCCTCCAGCATGACCTGACCACGGACAGGGACGAATTGCAACTGAAGTACATGCCCCCTTGACCAAAATTGAACTTGCGACCCTTTGGTCCTCAGCCAAACCAGCCAGAGCTTTTTTTTTTTTTTTAATGACAATATTCTTTAAAAAACATATATAATGGATAAATGGATAAAAAGTTAATAGTAAAATCTAGATGGTGGGTATTTACTGTAGAATTCTTTACATGTTCCTATATGTTTGAAAATTTTGCTGCTGTCCAGCCAGTGTGGCTCACTGGTTGAACATCAACCCATGCACCAGAAGGTCAACGGTTTGATTCCTGTTCAGGACACATGCCCAGGTTGTGGGCCCAGTCCTCAGTGGGGGACGTGCAGGAGGCGGCCAATAGATGTTCTCTCTCATTGATGTTTCTATCTCTCTCCCCCTCTCAATTCCCCTCTCTCTAAAATCAATAAAGGAAAAAAAAATTTATAAAAAAGAAAATTTTGCTGCTAAAATTTGGGAGGAAGGAGGAAGTACCTATATTTAAAATCCAACAAGCCTGTAAACAGCTCTTAAAAAATGACTGAACAGCCCTGGCCAGTATGGCTAAATGGTTGGAGCATGCACTCACAGACCAAAGAGTCTCGAGTTCAATTCCAGTCAAGGGCATGTACCTCAGCTGCAGTTCGTCCCAGCCCTGGTCAGGGTCATGCGGGAGGCAACTGGTCAATGTGTCCTTCTCACGTCGATGTTTTTTCGTTCTT